TCAAGAACTTGCTTCACATGGCCGCCGCCGATCTGGATCCCACGGATCCGTACGTGGACAGGGAGATGCGCAAGTTGCAGCAAATAGGGGCTGAGATTGAGGCTTGGGAGGCACAGGCGGCCAAGTTCTTCCGCCGGCTGACCCAGCAGCACGAGCTGGCCGAGATCGAGCAGTTCCTGAAGTCGGCGAGCGAAATCAACGGTCAGGTGCCATCGCATGGTCTGCTCAAGGATGCGCTGCGAAAGGCGCGCGAGTGGCTACGGGCCGTTGAGCAGCTGCAGCAGAATAACCACGTCACCTATTGCCACACCCTCGAGTCGATGATCGACCGAGGACTGAACATACCCATCCAGCTGGAGGAGCTCACCCGAATGCAGGGCCACCTGAAGAGCGCCCACCAGTGGAAGGAGAACACGGCCTGTGCCTTCCTCAAGAAGGGCACTTTCTACACACTGCTGGAGGTGCTAATGCCACGAGCAGATCCCATCAACATTGACTCAGATCTCAAACCGCGTTTCCAGGTAATGCCCACACACGACATCCTCTCGCTTTCGTCCACTAACGCTAATCCTTTGCAGGACGACTTTCTGAAAGAGAAAAATCCGGCGGAGATCGTGGCCAGCTTCAAGCACGCCGAGGAGCGGGAGCTGTTGGAGATGCGCGACTTGCGGCGCCAGAACATGGCCAAGAATCCCATGCGCGACATATTCTGTTTGTGCAAGTGCGACTTCCGTGGTCTGATGTACAACTGCCAGCTGTGCCGCGACTGGTTCCACGAGGATTGCGTTCCTCTGCCGTCGGTGACGAATTCGAACGGCGGAGTGGCCAACGGTGGGGCAGCTACTGGGGCAAATCGTCCGAAGTGGCTGTGTCCCAGCTGCGTGCGTTCGAAGCGGCCCCGCCTGGAGACCATCCTACCGCTGCTGGTGCAACTGCAGCAGCTGCCGATCCGACTGCCCGAGGACGAGGCCCTCCGCTGTCTGGCGGAGCGGGCTATGAACTGGCAGGACAGAGCTAGGAAGGCCCTAAGCAGCCCCGATGTGAGTGCGGCTCAGGAGGCGATCATGGCCCAGCAGCAGCAGAAGCGTCGCTCGGAGATCGGCGGAGCTGGGGTGGGCAACATTAGCAGTCCGCGAAAGGCGCGACGCCACGCCTGCCTGACGAAGGAGACTGGCGGGTCCACAGAGTCGGACGTTGACGACGACGATGATGAGGACGAGTGCCGGCTGCGCATCGTCGAGGACGGCTTCAGCAACGACGAGGAAGAGCCACGCTCTGCCTCGGCCTCGGCCGCCACCGTCCCTAACAGTGAGTCCAACTCCGATCTCCTAAAGCTGCTGTCCGACAGCGAAATCGAGAACCTGCTCGATTTGATGATGGAGGGCGACCTGCTCGAGGTCTCGCTCGACGAGACGCTGGAGCTGTGGCGCATTCTGGCCACGATGCCGCCCACTCTCCAGGAGGTCGAGGCCATGGAGCGGGTGGCCCAGCACTTGCAGCGCCAGCAACAACAGCAGCCATCTCAGTCGTTGGTCAACTCGGGCGCCGAGGACTCCAACGACAGCCTGCTGGTCCAGAACAGCCCCAACAGCAACAGCAACAGTGGCAGCGCGGCTCCGGCCTCCGCGACCGGCGGCGGTCGCAACAAGAAACGGCGCTCCAACGACACCAGCGGCAATTCCGCTGTGCCGCGCAAGAAACAGAGCACGCCCAAGCAGACCCCCGGCAAGAAGGGACCCTCGGCGACGGGTCCTGGACGCAAGAGCGATTCGAAGGCGGTGCCAGCTGCCCCTGTGGCCGATGCCGATGTGGAGAACAAGCAGTCGAATGGCGGCAACACCAACTCAAATACCGGGAGCACCACACCGACACCCGGATCCGGCCAGAAGAAACGCAAGCGCACATCCAATACCGCCAACAACAACAACAACAACAACAATAGCACCAACAACAGCAATAGCAGTAACGCCACCAACAACGGAGGCACTGGACAGGCAGCGGCCGCCAGTGGCCAGAACAGCTCCACCAGTGGCCAGAAGAAGCACGCGCAACGATCCCAGCAGGCGGCGCAGGAGGACGACGAGGAGGAGTGCCGGGCGGAGAACTGCCACAAGCCCACCGGACGGGAGGTGGACTGGGTGCAATGTGACGGGGGCTGCAACGAATGGTTCCACATGTACTGCGTGGGCCTGAATCGAAGTCAGATCAAGCCCGACGACGACTACATCTGCATTCGGTGCACCAAGACGGTGGCTATCGGAGTGTCCAGCCACCCCAGTGTGGGGGCGAATACGACGACGCCGGGCAAGCAGAGGACAGTGCAGTCGGCGCGATAGAGGAGGCGGAAGGAGCAGGGCGATTGCTAGATTTTAGATTTTTTGGAGTAACAGCCGATTTGTGTTTGACGAACTAAACACACAGATTAGAGGAGCGACTAGCGGGGGGGGGGCTAGCGGCCGTTACTAAGTTTAGTAAAAGTCACTTGAAAGTTTTGTAGTACATACTTACCAATTATCACTACATTTACTCATCCGCAAAAACAAATACTTGAAAAAAAAAAAGCAAAAACAAAACAAAACAAGAAAATGGAAAGCAAAAGAGAAACGAAAAACGGAAACGGAAGAAGAAACAGAAACGGAAGAATCAAACATAAGGGTATCGTTTAAGTAAAAAAAGATGAAAAAAAAACAACCAACACAATTAATTACTATTTTGTTGATTTATTCAGCCCAATTTTTATGTTCGTTAAACGTTCTTTTTATTATTATTATATTTTATTTTTACCTCTACCATTTACCTTTAATCATTACCATTACCTGCTACTTTTAGTTTTTGTTAATTTAATCACTTTTGTGTTCGCTTTAAGATTTTTACAACGCACACGCAAGTGTTTTTTAAGCCCGAATCCCAATCCAATCCAGACCTCAACCGTTGGCTCTACACTCTACTTTTGTACATTTTTTGTTTTACCGATAACAAGAAATATATATCTAGTATATTATATATTACCAATCTTCCACTAATTATTTTGCGTGGCGCCTTGTAAAAACACCTCTTCTTTTTCTTTGTATGTTTTTGTTTATAAAAAAAAAACGATTGATTTCAAAGTGTTAGGCTAAGGACTAAGAATCCCCCAATCCCCAAATCTCCAAAACCCCCAATCTAACAGAACTTGTTAATAACGGTCATACATCTAAAATTCAGTATATATCTAAGTTTATATTTAAAATACAATGAAAAATGTATAATTTTTAATTCTTAATTAGTAAGTTGACTAGAGAACAAGCAACTTTGGAATAAACGTAAATTTATAATAAAAAATAAAAAAAACGCCCAAAAAAAGAAAAGAAAAAAATTGCAAAAAACATCTTGATAATATTGACGTACAACACTTAGAATTATGCATTAAAAAATAAATACAAAAATAAAAAAGAAAAACGAAAAAAATGGTAAATGTAAAATCATTCTAAATGTGTATAAAAAATCAAAGATAAACAACAAGATTTTGGGGTCCCAAGATAACAGATAATTGAAATGAAAACAAAGCCCTAGACAGTTTAAGGAATAAAACTTTTAATTTATTAAGCTGGTAATGTACGATTTAATTCAAGAATCCAAGAATCCCTTCCCTGCAGGAGGGCACACCACACACACAAACACACTTTCCCACAACAAATATGTAATTCTATAATATAAATAAATTATATATATAAATAGTAATTTAAAAAAACATATATTGTTTGCTTTATGGATGGTATTTTTCAGTTATCTTGGAAGGAGGAGCAGGTGTGGGGTTATGGGAAAACGTCAGAGAGGGATTACCGACTTATCAGTTAAGGGGTTATATACAGTTGTGATAGATGAAAAAATCGATTTTTTTTTTATTGCATATTCTTCAAGTATATACTGTTGAAAATACTCTCACAAAAATTCATAACGATCGGAGCATTAGAACCGAAGTTATAGCTATTTATAGCGATTAAATGCGATTATCTCAGAATCTTGTTTTTTTCGAAATTACCTTTGCGGTGGACACGATTACTAAAAAACTATTAATCCGATCAACACCAAATGTTGACCCCTTATTTATTATGATAATAGCTAGTCCTTGAACAAAGGGTTTTCTATATTTTTAAAAACTCCTTTTTTAGAGCATAAAATCGAAAATCGTAAACCTTGAAAAAGTTCATTTTTGTTAAAACCGTCGGCCATTTTTTTATAAATCAAAAATCCAAAATCAAAATTTTTAAAAATCCCTCGTTTACGGACTAGGCAATACAATATACTAACTAAATTTTTTTGAATTTTGGATTTCGGATGAACCGTTCTTGGGATATGTTCTCGGAATTCATGGACTTTCTTGGAATTCGTCTATAACATTTTTATTATTTAATATTTTTTTTTGAAAAAATTTAAATAAGTACCCAGAACTATGTACTTAACAACGTCGGCAAAACATTTTTAATAAATATAATTCTATGGTGTCGAAAAAAAATCGATAAAATTTAATTTTTTTGCGCGGTACAACTGTATATAACCCCTTAAAGCTATTCCAAGTATTGCCTTTCGAAGCTATTATCTTTGGGTATTTCTATGATTTCAAGGATTATGTCCACTGATTCATAGTGCTAGTGGTTGGTTAGTTACCAAAAAAAAAAAACAATAATTTTCCACAAAACCACCGATAAAAGTAGATATAACAAAATTTATTTTGGGCTAGGCTCCCGTGCTACAATTATGATTGATTAGTTTGAACTGGCAAGTATTTTTGGAGGTAAAAAAAAAGATAGTAATACTAGGGAAATAGTTAAAAACCCTATGAGCCCTATCGTGTAACCCCCCACGAGAGAGCCCATTAGCCATTTATCGAAATTATCTTTATCAGCGAATAGGAAACATTACTTTCTATATTCCTGGCCTGACTGGGTGCACACATGACATGTGCCATGCCATCAAAGCTATTAATTCACGTGCTCCATTCAAGTTATTTAGAGGTAGAGTCATTACATTAGGGCACATAGCCATGTTTATTTTGCTCAAATATAGGTTGTTTTTTTCTCTCTGTACGTAGTACATGCCGACCGGCCGGACAACAGCGTTTGCTTTGACTTTATTCTTAGGTAACAGTTTCAAGAGTCTATAAAAAATAGTATGGTTGGCTTGCCGTCTGGTCGTCTGGCGAGTACCCTTCCAGAGTAGTGACGTCACATTACGTTACGTTATATAATATAAAGCAATATAAATATTCATCGAAAATACTAAGACAACAGTACATGTATTACACACTAGTTTTAACAGGCTTTTCAACTTATGAGGTAACAATTAGTTAAAGCGTTCGAATGTGTCCCTTAGTTAGGCCATCAAGTTCAAGTAAGCCCACCAGTCTGGTGAATCAGTATACCAGATATATACGAGTGCCGGAGAGTGACCCGTAATCTAATCTAAAGCCTTTCCAGACTTTCAGATTAACGGGCGAGTCGCCCTCCTCCTCCTCTCTCTAATAAATTGTCTCGCATGTGTATAAAAAGCCGTTAATAGGTCTAACGCTGAGATTACATTCGTGCCGGGAAACCTTGCCTGCAGTAGCATCTACCGCTTAAGAGGCCAAGCCGCGCTGACGGCGCTTCACCCTCGCATATGGTCCCACCGCCGGATCCATAATGAAGTCGTACAGGACGCGCGTCCAACTGGTGTGCTGGGGCATGGTGTCATAGAACTCCTTGGCGATGCGCTTCACCTCGGGCAGCCGGGAGCCGGGCACGGCTGGGAAGTCGTGGTGCTCGTTGTGGTAGCCGACATTGAAGGTGATCCAGTTGAGCGGGCCGTAGTAGGAGTATGTCTCGAATCCCTTGGCGAACATGTAGTGCTCCGAAATGAAATGACCGGCCACCGGGTGCAGGCCCATGGCCAGGATGCTGCCAATCAGCAGATAGGCCAATGGCTTCCATCCCAAGAAGTAGACGATCAGGGCGTTGAACGTTAGCTGGACCACGGTATTGATGATTTCCAGGCGGGTGGGAGGCTTGGGGTTGATCACCAGTGGACGGAATATGTAGAAGAATGGCTGCAAGCACACCCACAGAAACTTTCCGAAGGTGGTGTCGAACAGTCGGGCCTCAAGCAGCGTGGGTATGTCCGTATCGATGGCCTCGTCGCCTTGGTAACTGCATAAAACAAATAAATTCAAATGTCAAAATAGGTCGAGTGGGGGGTAGATTCCAAGATATCATTATTTTCAGAATGGCAGTAAGGCTAGAAAAGTCATAGTTCCAGGATGTCTCACGTCGAAGCTGTTTATTTCGGAGCGGTATTTACCGGCAATCAACAATCCACTCGAAGGTGCACCTGAGCGATTAGATAAACCTTATCACCCGTTTTTTTTTTTAATGGTGAATGAGGGTGACTGTAAACACCGGCATACCCAGGCGAGGAAGCCAAGAGTTCCGTAATTCAATTGGGGACTTTTTGCCAAGAGCCTTGAGGCCGGCCAATTAATAATATATGGAGGAGTGACTCAACCGGCAACTCAATTCAAAATCAAATCAAGTTGCAATATGGAAAGTGTCTGGGAAATCGAGGAGCTACGTGACCAATTGGCTAAAGCCACTATCCAGATAGTTGTAGGATTATAAACTTTGTTAGAAGTAATCTTATCGGTGCAATTCGCACGCACTCGATGTCCAGAAACGCGGTGCCCAAGGGAAAATTGACTCATGGGCTTATCGAGGAGTGGGGCTCCGACTGGGGGGCAGTGTTGCACAACGCCGGCTTCCCGGTTAAATAAACTAATAGAAGAAAAGGGCAGGGCAGGGATGGGAGGCGCGCGGGCTGGTGTGTATATTTCGCAGTTTACTGCGGTGACTACGCCCCAGCAACAAATAAACCAACCGCCCACGTTTGTGTGTATGGGTGCGCCTCGGTGAAGTACGTCATAAACTACATCTATGTATGTCAAATGGCACGTACCGGTGGTGCTCGAGATGGTACTTCTTGAAGGATATACTCATGGGCAGGCCGATCGGTAGGTTGCAGATGAATCCCAGGATACGGTTGTGCATCGGTCGGCTGTGTCCGAAGGCCAGGTTGTGGGATATCTCGTGCACGGCCAGCATAAGCGAGTGGTTGATTATTCCCCCGAAAGCAGTAGGCGGCCACCAGTAACCACGACCAGGAGAGGTCTTTAACGACGAACAGGGCCAGGATCTGGGTGAGAACCATGGCACCGGCCACCCACTTGAAGTTGGGGTCGTGTCCGAACAGTTTCTTGATCTGCGGGTACTTTTCCAGGATGATCTTTCGCCGCGACGCGTGCGGCTCTTCCGTGTAGACCCATTCAAAGTCATTTCGCGATACTTTCTGGCCCATCTCGGATTCTGGATGCGGCTATGATTAATGCGGGATTGGTTAAGTTGCGGAGAATTTCTACGGGCCGGTGTCAGTTTGTTGACATTATCGACCGGAGTGCCGTTGTGGAAAAATCAAAAAAGGCGAAGCAACCGAAAGAATAGCTGAAAGTGTTACCAGGTGGCGGATGGGTTTCATATTATATCGATAGATATTAACGATATTTATCGATGAATTAATAATGAATTTAATATTGAGCTTTTAGGTTCCCAATAGCTTGTAAAATATACATGAATATATAATAAATCCATGCTAAAAGTTTTTAGTTCTCCTTATCTTATTAATATTTCCAGTAATTGTTGAAAAAAAACATCCATTGGTTTAGTATATTTCGTATTGCAGGGGTTTGGTATTAAAAATATACCATCGGATAAATGTAAAATATATATAAAATTTAAATTTAAAATAAATATAGGAGCTTAAAAAACATTTAAGGTCATTATACGCAACTAGAGGTTCTTTATTGTTCCACCTCACTGAATCCCATGACGCTTCCAGTTTCTATAGTTACCCATGAAGTCAGTAACCATGATATAATGATTCAATTCTATAAATGCCATATAGTTATGTAAACGAACCCCTGAACCTATCCAAAGTCTAGCTTACATCGTAAAATCTAGGCTTTCCATATGAGCTTTACTAACCTGTTGCAGATCAACATTTTATGATTATTTTTAAAAGTCCCTCGTTAGGTTTCTGATCCTTCCCACCTCTAGATCAACTTTTTTTTTTTTATTTTTTAGTTGATTTTCATTTAAAAATGTTTAAACACTATGTGATTTGTGTTGTTTTTAATATATTTTATCAATAGTTCTAGAAAAAGCTAAAACAAAGGTGTGGCAAAAAGATGGTGATGGTGTGGCTTTTGCTTTAAGTTGTCAACCCGTTTTAGCAAGTGCCTGCCTTCCTTGGGGGCACTTGGGCTTCAGTAGTATTATTACTTTCTTTAGATAGATGCAAATGGTTTTTGTATATATTTGTATATATTTTGTTGTTGCTGGTTGACGACGCAGTTTTAAAATTGATGTTACACAAGGAGGAACTAAATGAATACAGGGTGGCGGCGGTGTCGGCGGCTGCTGCTGCTGCTTGGCGAGATGTTGGATGACCCGGCGACTGGATGTTGTTGCTGCCATTGGCTGCCGATGCTGATGCTGATGTTGGTGCTGGAGCTGCAGCTGGAGCGCCGCTGTCAAAGATGTTGGTGTTGTTGTTGGTTGTTGTTGCCCGTTTCTAGTCCGTGTCGTTGGTCGCTTCTGCCTTTTTGAATTGATGGTTGAATAAATATTTAACTTTAGACTTTAATGCTTGCTGATCTTTGAATAAGTAGTTTATATTTGCGCTCGTTTATCGAATTCGCAGTTCTTGGTAGCTGTTTTTTTGCTCACTCACTTTTTATTTTTGTTTTTTTTTAATTAGAATTCGTAGTTGTTGTTTTGCGGCTCAACAGAAAAATTTTAAATCAAATCGGCAATATTAGCAGGCATTTCCTCAATAGTTGTGTGGTAGAATTGTTCAATATCCTTAAGGATTCGTCGATCATCGTCGGTAATGAAGTTGATCGCAACACCCTTGCGACCGAATCGGCCACCGCGACCGATTCTAAAAAGATTAAGATTAAGGCCAAGTTCATAACCCGCTTCTAAAGCACTCACCTATGAATATAGTTCTCGCGGTTGGAGGGCAGGTCATAGTTGATGACCAACGACACCTGCTGCACATCAATACCACGCGCCAATAAATCAGTGGTAATCAGGACACGAGAAGAGCCTGAACGGAATTGTTTCATGATGACCTCGCGATCGCGCTGCTCCATGTCACCGTGCATGGCCGAGACGGTGAAGTTGTGGTTCGACATCTCTTGGGTCAGCTGGTCGACCTATAATTTCGATACAAAGTGGTCGGGTTAGGGATCGGGTTAGGGTAGACAGCTACCTAAGCTTACCTTGCGACGAGTGTTGCAGAAGATAACCGACTGGGTGATGGAGAGGGTGTCGTACAAATCGCATAGAGTTCCAAGCTTCCAGTTCTCCTGCTTGACGTTCACGTAGAACTGCTTGATACCCTCGAGTGTCAGCTCCTCCTTCTTGACCAGGATGCTAACGGGCTCACGCATGAAGCAACGGCTCACCTCCAGCACATCTGGGGGCATGGTAGCGGACAGAAGGATGACCTGCACATCGGGGGGCAGCATCTTGAACACGTCCTGGATCTGGTCTTTGAAACCGCGCGACAACATCTCGTCCGCCTCGTCGAGAACGAACAGCTTGATGTACTGCGTGCGCAGCACCTTGCGGTTGATCATGTCGTACACACGGCCAGGTGTGCCCACTACCACATGGCAGCCGGACTCCAGAATGCGAGCATCCTCGCGCACGTTAGTGCCGCCAATGCAGGCGTGCGAGTGAACCTTCATGTACTCGCCCAGCGCCATAACGACGCGCTGGATCTGCGTGGCCAGCTCGCGAGTTGGGGCCAGGATCAGGGCCTGGCACTCGCGGATGGACGTGTCGATCTGCTGAAGGATGGCGATCGAGAAGGTGGCAGTCTTGCCAGTTCCTGTGAAAGTGGATATTGGTAAAGGTCAGTGGATTCTTTAAAAGAAATGCTGCAAGAGGGCTTGGTTTGCAAAGGGTGGGGCCAGAGGGCTTGTTTTCCATAATTTTAAGACCATTTCAAGGGATGGGCAAGAGGGCTTGTTTGGAAGGAAGGACAGGGCCACATATCAGGTTTACAGAACATGCTAGTGACTTCGAGGTCCATAAAATGGCAGGTGCTGGGAATAGGCAGATTAGTTACAGCCTTGGTTCCTAGGTAGAAAATGTGCCAGACATCTTTCCAGGAACTTTCTTCTCTGAAAACCGCTGCAAACGCGGCAAAGAATGCAGCTGGCAAGCGAAAAATAGGCGCGCAAGCGCAGAGACGCCAAACGACGAGAGAAAGAGAGCGATGAAGAGAGTGGGAAAGCAGCTGAGAGAGCGGAGAGACACCTTGGAACAGGCACTTGAGTCACCGATGCTGACTATTCAGAATTTTTGGAGGCTCCACTGAACAATTGTTGCGAAACAAAAGTGGGGGAACTGGTGGGGGGACTAATACTAATGGTTACTCACCCGACTGCGCCTGGGCAATGACATCGCGACCCTTGACGCAAGGAATGATGGCGCGCTGCTGGATGGCAGACGGCTTCTCGAAACCATAACCGTAGATGCCGCGCAGCAGCTCCTCACGCAAGTTCATGTCATCGAAATTGTCGTACACCTCATGCCAGGTGGACTCGATGACTCCCTCGGGGTCCATGCCGGCGGGACCATCCTGAGCTATTTCACTTCGATCATCCCTGCAAAACGACCAAGAAAACCAAGAAAACGTATTAATATTTAAGCGGAAAATGGAGCTCGACTTGAGAAGAGGCGAATTTTCGCCGCTGGGGCTGCCCTCAATGCACGATTTGTTGGTTATGGCGAATCGCGCTTGGCAACCGTCGCAGACGGCAGGCTTTAGGTTTGGCACTCACATTATCAACAATAAAAAATCGACTTGACAAATTTATATCCTGAATTTCGACGGCTTGAGCACCGTTCACTTAAACAATTTCTCTATTGTTGTGTCTGACAGGAGGTCAAGAATGAGTAACAGGGAATTTGAGTATTTCCCCCCGTGTTTCTCAGTCGACTGTGCTAACGTTAACGTGTTTTCGTCGTTCCGTATTCCGTTTGCGTTCCGTTTTGCCGAACTGGTGCGACCGCTAGGCGGACTTTCGAACACCGAGCGCCCGCCCTGAACGAGTGCGAGCGAGACGACCGTATTGTCGGTGTGTCAATGTCAGTGGTTGCGCCCGCTGATAGAGCAGTCGAGCAATATTCGCGTAACTACGCCAGTGTTGTCTAACGTTTGTCGTTGAAAATAGTAGTAGCCGGTCAAAAAAAAAAATAGTAGTAGCTATTTTGGGTAGTAATTTTAGGAGTGTCGAAAATAGTGAAAGCCGGGTAAGGGTGAGAGAGTGTGGCGGCAGGGTGGGTGGTGGTGATGACTGCTTGAAAATAGCCGGAAACCGTAGCAGCTATTGATAGAACGGCAATGAACTGTCCTATGCGTGTTATTGTCCAGCAATGACTCAAAGGCCGTTTTAACGTATGGGTGTATGGGTGTGTGACAGCTGGCCCTCTTCTTATTGAAGATGAGTCAAGTGCAAATGGCGCTGACCATCAAAATAGGTTGGCGGTAAACTGGCACAAATTGCAAAAATACAAATTCCATCTTGACACAAAAGCAACACTTTCATGGAGCAGCCAACTACTCTCTCCATTCTTCTCCACTCTCCGCTGTCCATCTCGCTCGCTCTCCCACCCTCGGCGCTGTCATTCGGGGGCGACAGCCGTCGTGTAATTTTTCTTTGTGTTCCACACATTTCTGTTGGCCACAAAATTTTCAAGTCGAATTTTTACTGTTGTCTCACTGTGTAATGCGCCGAAACCGGCCGGAAACGACGGCCCGCGTTATTGCCTTTCTGCTTTTCACTTTTCGTACGCTTAATTTAATGAATATACTAACATTTTCTGAAAATTATTTGGCACTTTTTATACACGTGCTGCTACTGATTTGTTAAACCAAGCAAAAGGCTCCATCTTGCAAAAGTCGGAAGTGATGTGAGAAAACATCGCCGATTATCGATATTTGATCGCCACTATCGATAGCGTTTTCAGTCACTTTCCAACACTTATGGGGGTTTCTTACAAATGGAAATAAATTCATAAAACAACAATTAACGTAAAAATTTTAAATATTTATAGAATTTTTTTTTAATATTCTAAAACCAACCAAATATAAATTATATCTATTTAAAAATAAATCGGTAATCGTGCCACAAAACTATCGATAACAAAAATAAAAGAGAGCCCTGGCTCGAGCATAAATCGATGATTTTTCCACCTCTAAATGAGTGAGTGCCGTGGGGGTTTTCCGAGCCGCATTTAAGTAGTAAGTTTAACTAGTTATTACCTCGAAGCAAAAGTAAAAAGGTGTGCTACAAACTGACTAGCTGCATTTGAAAGAAAGGTGATATGTCCACACTAACGCAACTCCCAAATTAACAAAGAAAAGAGCAACACATGTACGCGACTAGGGCGACGGCGTCGGCCGTCGTGTGCGTGTGTGTGTATAAGTGCGAAAAATTAAATGGGGAATAGTTCGGCAGCCGGTCGGCCTGCAAAAAGGAATTACCTAGCTGGACCGCCGGATAACGACACATTATCGCAAGTACTTATACGTCTTGCGGATGAACCATGGAGCAAAATGCGCCATCGCGTACATATATGTGCTGAATTTAAAGGCTATTTTTAATTTATGACAGTTACTCAGTGCCGGCCAAGAAAGCGCCGATTCATAACACTCACCAACACAGTCGCACCCCCGGAGAGTGGCGAGAGTTGCGGCTGAGTCATCGTTTTCTCTCACTCGCTCATTTGCATTGTCCGCTGCCGGCTGATTAATAACGGCCCGCCACGTAAGCCGTCTCCCTCGCACCCACAAACGCATACGCAAGCCGTTCTCTCGCCCTCGCACTCACTCCCAGAAAATAAAAATGTAGCTTTCAATTTCGTCATTTTTATGCAAATATGTCTTTCCAGTATTAAATCTTAAATTTTTCGCAATGCGAACAAATTTAAATTCTGTCCCACAACCCAATTGCAAGTTGGAGAAAAGTCCCTCCCACGCACACTGCCACAAAAGATAATTTTTTTTTTGCTCAGTGTGCCGAAGTTGCACGAGCAGAGCCGACGAGACACCGCCAAGCGGCACGAAGGCTGACACTGTACGATGTTTCCATCGATGTTTCTCCACCTCTGGGCAGAACGGTTTTTCACTCAGAGCAAGTCGGACGTTTTGGAGCTGCCTGCCGTACCGGTCCCTGTTTAGTCTCAACCCTCGTCTCTCGTTGTGTTTGTGGCTGTGCTTAGTGTGTGTATATGTGAGTTTTTCCGGAGGAAGAAAATTTCGGTTTTATCACCCAGAAGCCCAGCGACGTTATTGGCGTTATATTCGTGGCCAAATCCCCGATCCTAATCAAAGTCTGCGGACGGGTTTCTGCCACTAGTCCAGTCGTCAGTCAAGGGCGAAAGGGAAAGACGCATAGCATAGTAAAGCAAAGCAAGAAACAAAGAGCAAGAGCGCACAGCTTGCAGAATTAACGGGCCGCCTGCGATAAATGTTAATTTCTGTCTCTTTCTCTCTCCCATCTCGTTGCAGTTCTAAATAAGTTTCCATAAGAAAAATCGTCTGCGTTGCGGTTTTCTTTGTCCTCCGTCAACGTCAACACACTGCAGATTTCGGGTGACCCTCGAAACGAAAGTGCTACGCGCCGCGCCAACCAGTTCCAACCAATCAACCAACCTACCAAACCCACAAACAAAGCACCATGAGCTGGCAAGACTACGTCGACAACCAACTCCTTGCCTCGCAATGCGTGACCAAAGCTTGCATTGCCGGACACGATGGTAACATCTGGGCGCAGTCCAATGGCTTTGAGGTAAGTACAAGATACAAGGAAATCCGGACGTAAAACGAGGAATAATCCGACCAAAACCGTCCTCCGGCTAGTTGACAATGAATTTTCGCAAGTTCAAGGGTGTGGACTGCCTGCCTGCCTCCCCCTTACCCAGTCGGGTGCTACACTGCTCTCTGTTGACTCGCGCACACTCACACGGGACACTCACAAAGGAGGCACATGCATGGCCGCCATGATTGCTTTTGGGTGATAAAGAGCAGCGCAACTCCCTACCCCCCCCCCCGCTTAAATCTCACTGTAGTCGAGTTCACCCCCCGCGGCTGCGCTCTCCTGGCAGCCAGCCTTCGCTGCTCTCCGTCCCCGTGATAGCGGCAAGTGGGCGGGTGCGTGCGACCGCTGTCCGTGATCGTGCGAAAGTTCCCCAGCCTCCGCCCTGAGCTCCTAATCTGAGCCGAGCTTGGCTACTTGTTTGCGATAACAGCTGCCGTTCACACACTAATCGCTAGTACCCCCAATTAGTCGCCTAAACAGCCATCAATGACTATTCGCTCCTTCCGATGAGTCACACGGCGGATTCGTCACTCGGCCGATTCATCCATCAGTCTCGGCTTCGATTCGAGGCAATCAAAAAGGCACTTAAGGTGTTTCCATCTGTGGTGGTGGCTGCGAAGGCGACACAAATCTGATATCAGCAGCCGACTGGCGTACAGATGTTGTGTGTTGTCACCGGCCCTGTCCAACACTGGCAGCAGTGTCTGATAATAGTCACTCCCTTTTTCTGAATTGAAGAAAGAGAGCCTCGGGGTTGGGGTCTGCCTTTATCAGTGGCGGTGTTGTTGTTGTTGTTGCTGCTGGTATTATCGCCTTTTATTTTCTCTTTGCTTCCTTGCTTGCTTTCTTTTTGCTTCCTCTGCCGGCAAAAATACATTCTGTTTATCGGATGGCAAGCGGGCGATGCCGCGTCACCAACGGAAGATGTTCAAATATTTTGAGCGTTTTATTAAAGCGCGCCACGTTTTTGCGCTGTATCTGTGCGCAGTGCGAGTGTGTGTGTGTGCAACTTCCTGCTGGCTTGGCTCCATGTGCTTTTATCCTGTTTTCCGTCTGTTGCGCTCCCCACCGCTTCCGCAGGGGTGAAGGCAGCGGGACATGCCACTCCCTTTTGCTTTGTTTGTCGCTTTCAGTTGGTTATTTTTTTTTTTCTCTTCTCCCATCTCTTATTTCCAATCACAACTGCATTAGAAACCGATTCGGTCATGACTTGGCATGTCTCTGGGCCACTGCTGGCAACGTCATCTTTTACCTTGTATCTTCCACATTTCTGCTTAATATTCTCTATATGTCTGCTTCTTTGAGTATCACTTTCGCTTCTTTATCTTGTTGATTTCCCATTTTTATATTACTTCTCTTACCTACTTGCGATTTTTTTCTTTCCTATAAACAATATATTTATTTTTTTTCATTTTTTTGCGGTTGATCAAAGGCCTTGCCAGACTGTTTTTAGAAATCGGCAAAGTGTGTGTCTGTACTGGCTTATCAGAAACGTCTTTATTTATTTTGTTTGCGCCTTATATTCGCATTTCGCGAACTTGGCAAACAATAACCATATAAAAAAACCGGCTTTATAAGGCCAAGTCTGTCGCAGTATATACATGGCTATATTTCAAATGCATGTACATATTCCGACTGCAACTTAATTCGTAGAGAAATGGCCGTTTTTGGCAATAGTATAGGCCGTGTAAACAAAGGCGTTTTAGTTTTTTTTTTTTTGGCACAGGCTGCTTAATTTATTAAAATTTTTGGAATAACTTTTGAAAACCGGCTTTTCTCTTTCGGTTCTTTCTTCGTCTCACTCTCGAAGATAGCTGTACGCTCAATGGAAGCTTCTCGAGGCTGTTTTTTCACTGCGAACATGTGGTGCTGCTTCGTATCCAGCATGTGGGATACGAAATGGCTTTTAATCGTATTCGATTTTGAAATTAATATTCTTTTCTCTCCGCTCCGCTCTGCTCCTCGCGAGAGCCGAGCTTGCAACTCCGCCTGTATTTGGTCTCTCTCTCTTAGCCTGTATCTGCCACGCGCCTTCTTTTCTCTTTCGCTCAACGGCGCTCTCTCTTATTCGGCGGATAAGCCGTTCAGGTGTGCAAAACTTGTTTTTTTTTTTTTTAAATCCAAAAATCAAGACGACGACCAAGTTCAGCCTCCAAGTGGACAACGTTCCTGCCGCGCCCACCCTTCAGAGTCGCCCTCCTTCTGATTCCTCCCCAGCATTGGGCCACATTTGTTAATGAGTTGGCAGTTGGCGATGTGGCCGCATTTTGTTGCCAACTGTTTGCAATTGGGTGGTGCTCTTGGTGGCGGTGACGATGTTTGGTGGTGGGCTTTGTTTGCGTGGGCTATCGCTGCGCCGTCTGCTGCTGATTACTCCGATAAATATGGTTTCTGTGCCTGAACAAGGGCGGGTATCCTTTCGGGGCATTGTTCTCCTGCTGACGCATACAAATGACTTACAGTACCGACATACCGAATTTATTGAATTCGTGCGTGACTCAACCCATCTACTAATTATATTTATGCTCCTCTTCCAGGTGACAAAGGAGGAGCTGGCCAAACTGATCAGCGGTTTCGACCAGCAGGACCTGCTCACCAGCAATGGCGTTACACTCGCCGGCCAGCGGTACATTTACCTCTCCGGCACAGACCGCGTAGTGCGTGCCAAGCTCGGCAGGAGCGGAGTGCACTGCATGAAGACAACACAAGGTAAGCATTGGATAGCCGATACCATAAACACACCATACCAGGAATGGGAGGTTCTAACTAGAAGAAACAGTTGCTAATATGACACTTTCGTTGTAGAACCCAGACATATGAGATATGAGTTCTCTTTTCTTTGTTCTAACTCTGCCGATAGGATCGTTATCGATCTGAGGCATTGCTGGGACTGATTATAATTATCAGAGGGGTTTTTTTTTTGTCCCCTGAAAGACATAAAAATGAAAAGGTTTAAGTCAACTCGTACTTGGAGAGTTATCGCGGGTGGAAAGAATTTAATCCAACTGGAAGAGCGATAAGGGGTTTTTGGGGTAGAAAGGCTGTTAATTTCGATAGTATGATTGGTATGTTTTGGCTTTTTAGGTCAAAAGCAGCAGCGTTTCTTTTTCTGTGTTTATCTTGCACAAGCAGCGAAATAAGTTGGCCATGTCAGTGCCGATGGCAGCCGTTGTGGGCCATTTCCCCAGTTCGCTCTCTATCTATGATTCTATGAGGCTAGGAGGCTAATTTTGATGTTGTAGTTTTTGCATTTATGACCAGTTTTTGTTTGCTGACGCGTCAGCGGGCCGTTCCGTCCATATTTGTACAGTTTTTGTGGCAACTGTTGCGCGTACACACACAGCCCCCGAGTGTGCCGCCCGCTGCAGCCACAAGCTCAAGGTTATTGCCATAATCCATTTCAAGTGCAAATGTGTTGGGTGTGTGCTTGGGTGTGCAAGTGCGTGTGCCAGTCTGTGTGTGTGTGTAGAACCGCAGAGACTGAAATGGAGAAGCTAAGTAAAAATAAAAAAAAAAAAAAAAAAACGCAAAGAAATGGCAACAACAACAAAAATAAATGCCAAACTAGTCTGTCTGGGCCCGCTGGCTTCTCTTTCACGGGTTTTATTTTACACCTGACTAACACACTTGTGCCTGGCCTGGTGCCTGGACTGGTGCCTGGCGCCAGTTAGCCGCCGCTGGAACTCTCCCCAATTCTGGCTTAAAGCCTCGAACAGCTGATCGGCCAGTTGCAGCGATGCAACTGTGTTTACATTTCCACGAAATAGAATCCAACACGCCACTTCAATTACCGTCCAAACAACTGGCGAGGGGATGGCTAGTAACTGAGGAGGAGGAGGTCTAGGCGTCAATTTACACGACTTTTGCGTGAATACGCAAGTATTCCCCCAGTAATTATCCTCTTTATGGGTTAAAACCGAGTATAACCCAATAACCCTATTCCCAAGGGGTTGGAGCATAGTACTTGCTAGTCTGGCTATTGATTCCTTGACGTTGACACCTGGGAGACAGTTCCCCATCCGTTCTTGGCAGCTACAGGTGCTGGGCTTTGCTGACAGGCCGGAGAGATGCCGGGCCAAGGTTGTTGACCCCGGAGCTCTCCGCTCAATCAATTAGGCTTCTATCACTTTTCTGCTCATTTGATTAATGTAGTATACCTGGCCCAGTCAACTGAAGACTTGTCATTCGGGTCTGCTCTTTTCTTGGCTTGTCTCGATGGTCCGGTTTTTGTCGTTTTTAAAGCCACTGTCTTTAGACTGGAGAGTCTTTATTGAGCGGTCGGTTTATTCATAATTTCCAGTTGGCGATGCGCTACTGCTGTAAAATACTGTTAGTTCTTATTTCTCCGCTGGCGGCAGAGGCTTTCTCTTTGCTTTCGAGAGCATTGTCAACCGGAGAGAAAAGTCTGGAAAAGTAATTAAATAGTGATGGTGAAGGAGATTTTGACAATAAAAGATGGATATCAGTTCAAGATACAAAGATATTCGATTATATTGTGTTTCTGAATAGTTTATCTGATTTTTTTTTTAATATTTACTAATTTAATTCTTCGTTTTTTTTTATTATTATTTTTACAGCCGTGATCGTTTCCATCTATGAGGATCCCGTTCAGCCCCAGCAGGCCGCATCTGTCGTGGAGAAACTTGGAGATTATCTAATTACTTGCGGGTACTAGGAGAATAAAAAAAATAAACACAACAACAACAAATAAACAACACCCCATCAACCACAACACACACCAACAACAACAACAACTACAACAACAAAAACAAGAGCAACAAATTTGATAAGAAAAAGAAAACCGTAAATGAACTAATAACACATAAAAAAGTAATTATTAATATTTAAATTTATGGAAAAAAACGAAAGAAAAAAAAAAACAACGGCCAAGAAGTAATTTGCGGTTTTTTTGTGTGTATCAGGAGTAATGGAACGAGCAAAACGCTAAATATAGTGTGAAAGAACGCAAATATTACACAACTACAAAATTATAAATTTCTGCATTATTATATTTAAAACTTTTTGGTTTATATGATAAAAACAAAATAAAAGGAAAACACAAAACTAAATCAAAGCATAACTAAGAACTCAGTCATTATAACGTGGATTACTACTAAACAAAAAATATAAAAATAAATCCCTAACAACGCGTTGACTTTAATTGTAAACGCGAACAAGAACTGCAAAAAAAATAAACAACGCAAAAAAAAAAAAAATTATAAAAATTAACATCAACGCAAGATTTAAAAAAAAAAAACAGGCAAATTTTTGAAACGATTTTTATATAGCAATGTATACACAATCGATACTGTTCTGTATATTTATACAATACGTACACACGCAGGTTTTATAAAAAAAAAAAAACAGAACAGAACAGAGAGTGAGTGAGGGAAGATTTCATCTGACAGACCAGACCGGACCGATCCATCGAAGGAAGGAGGGCCGCTGCCCAGATAGATAGTGGAGGGAAATTGGCCAACGGAAATGAATCGAAGGGAATGTGAGGAAACCAACAGACAAACAGACCGACAGACAGACACACACACACACACACAGGAAAATACCAACCAATATAATTAAATATATCTATATATATATTTATATATGTAAACTATTTGGAGATCCATGACGATGCTCTATTTTTATGTGGTGAAAACGGGAAAACAAAAATGGAAGTATCTCATGGATACTACTCTGAGATACTCTGAGGAGTGTGTAGCAGTGGTTCCCTTTTTTATACAAATGCGATCGAGAACCGATGGAGATGGAGAATTTCCAACTTAAAGATAGATACGCGCCAAGCACCATCATATAAGTGTTCATATTCAGATCATGTCAAGTATTTCCCGCCATATGTGTCACAGTCTATGCATATACATATATCTATTGTAGGTAGCTCTCTCACTCTTTTGAAGCGTTGCTTTTCATGTTTGTCATTTTCGTAACGAAATCCTAGCAAAAGTATGTATGTATGTATAATATCGCTGAAATGAATCATTAGCCTAGCAGTTTGCGCCTGTTATGGGCCGAGTTTTGCGCTTCAGGAACACGAACACACACAGATTGCTGAACCCGGATTCGGATTCGGATTCGAATGCGGATTTGGCAGTCGAATTGCCATTTACCATTTACATAACGCTAGCGTAACAAGTGCATGTGTAACCACATTTAACTACGTACGAGTACTCGTAATACCAATTCATATTTAAATGGCTTTCTTTTTTATGTTTAAGCTAAAGTCTAAAGTCTTCTTTCGCGCTCTCACCGAAACTTTATAGAATCCCCTTTATAGACGTCCCGATAACCATACCCCTTCCAACCACGCCCCAACCTGCTCCATTCCTTGACATGCTCGTACATGCAAACGAAACGTGAAATGAAAACCGAATGCATAATTTACGGATATAAAAAAAAGCAAAATATATAATACGATACTTTAATACTATTGAAATAAAAAAGGCGAGTGAGACAAACGAAAAGCTCCTCATGAAAATAAGCATACGCCGCATTATTCTCTTATTGGGATTTTGGGCTGTGGCCTGGGGGCTATCGGTAATCGATAGATCAATGAACTCTGTGCGATTATCGAAGCACTGGTCTTTTATGGTTTTATTTAATTAAAGGTCAAGTATGCGAGAGACGTGAGGTTATTTTCGTGCCTGCATTATCGGTGGCAGTGTTTGTGAGGCAAACGCCATGAAAATATCTTCCAAAAATAAATATTTCTGTGCAATTTATTTTTTTTTTACACTTGCGTTTGACAGCCGGAGATCCTTGTCCACCTGCCCCAAAAATTTCTGGCATTGCATATGCTTTTTTTTTTGCCTTTTTGCCAACTGAATGTGTGAAATTTTTAAATATATTTTTATTTAGATGAATTATAGATCTTGGATAATTTTCAAGGTGATTTTGAGTCAGTATTTTTCCTCTGTTGAAGCACCATTTTATTAATTAATCACCAAATATTCCAAACAATTATCGTTAGTGGTTTTTGGGCTCCCTTTTCTCGGCAATTTTAGGCGCGTGTTCTTACTAACGGTAGGGTATTTGGATTTATTCAAGTTTTGTTTACTAAAATTATTAATTAATCGCTTTTAGACTTCAGTTTAGGGTTTTAGAATATTGCATAATTAATGTCTTAAACACATTACGAGATTTGTAGCTCAATTAATCTTCATAAAATTCAAAAAGTAAAATATTTTCAAAAATCTTCCCTCACAATATTTGAAAAATACATGCAAGGACAATAAAGCTCACAGTAAGCTAAATTTTCTTGGGTGTCCCAACCGAAAATGCTGAAAATTCATTAAGCAACAATATGGTTACAAGTGATGGCTATATCTTTGTCAATAACAATCCAATTTTTAAGAGGATATTAAAACAAATTAAAGACATGTATTTTCTTTGCCGATCTGCATCAAAATCTAGATTCTACAACAAACTTTTTTTTGCATGGGAAAAAGGCGAAGAGCGAAGGCCATAGCTCTGTCAATATTCATCCGATTTTGATGGCCTCCTTTAAGTCCCAATAAATGGCTATTTTTAGAGAAATGAGAAACAATTAAATTTAAATAAAAAAATATAAATTTACAATTTTATTTTACAATTTTGTACTATAAATTTCCTAATATAAAAAGAGCTTATATCTTTACTATACTCTTCTGACCGTATTTTTAGTTGAAAGTGTTGAATATCTAACATATTCGTATATTGAAAAAATCAAATATACATTTTGGATCATCACTGAAGCCAAAAACGTTGTACAAATTTCGATCTGGACCCTTGTCATTTTTTGGAAAACACCTTTAATTCTACTCTTATGCATCAGAATCCCGATTGACCCTCCCATTGGCGGAGCTGTTCGATCGTAAGCCACATGAGCACGGAAAAGGGCCCAAGTCGGAACCAGGTTGGCCACAGACCCTTATAAAGGATCAGCGGTCCCTCCTCCTTCACAATAATCCTGGCACATTCCCAGGTGTTTTTGTAGTAGAGATTCTTGCCATCTTTGTCCAGTGGCTGGTTCATCATTCGGGATTTGAGGACGTCCGCCGGACAACTGAGGACGGAAGCCACGAAGCCGGCCGTCATGGAAGAGTAGAAACGCAATTGCAGTCCCTCCTCCAACTGGAGTATCCTCTTGTAGGTGCGTTTGCTCAGATCGTAGCTGCCCACATCACCGGCGGTCATCATGCAGGCCCGAAGGCAGCTGGGGCCGATGCCCCGCCACATCCCAGCCAAGCCGCTAAATCTGTAGTTGTCCGCGAACGCTTGGAACATATTGCTGGCCCGTGCTGGCTTGCCCAGCTGGCGGCGCCTGCCCTCCGTCTGCATCTGCACCTTGACAATATCGAAGGGATTGGCCATAGCTTGGGCAATGCAGCCCGCTGTGAAACCGCACCCCAGGGCGGCAGCGACGCTCAGGACCTCCTCGTTCCGCTCGTTCTGGTAGAGAAAGGGTCGCCGGAAGATGTCGTACATGACGACTCGCCCCGAGTTGAAGATCAGATTCCGTGTAACCATCGACGAAAATCCGGCGTACATCGACTTGAACCCCTCCACCTTCCACATGTTCCTGAAGGTGCCGAAAAAGTGGGGCATCTTGGCACCCGATTTTTTGGCTTCCTCGCCCTCAACCTGCATTCGGGTCTTGGCCACGTCCAGGGGAAACACACAAGATTCGGCGATGTTGGAGCCGATGAAGGCATTGAAATAAAGCTGGAAAAGATTACCGACCGATAGGGGCTCTACCACATTTGTGGGAGGAAATTTAGGGTCGTCGTCGCTATATACGGATCGCAGATGCCAGTACTGATTGCTGTCCTTGTCCATTCTACCAACCATCGAGTGTAGTGTAGTGTGACAGAAAATATATCCTTTACTGTGTGTGTGTGTACACTGAGCTACAATTTGAAACTTCACATTTAAGGGGAACGGGAAACAATTGAACGGCAACTGAGATCACCTGGGTTAGTAGCCCTCAACGCCCCGGTGGCGGCGGATTTGCTCGAAGGTCATCCAAAAGACCATCGACCAGGGGCTGACGCGCAGCCAGTAGGGAATGAAACCCTTGTACAAGGCCATAAGACCCTCCTGCTTCACCAGCTTGCTGATGCAGTCCAGGGAGCCCTTGTAGTGCAATCCTCGGCCCCAGGCATCTGTCGGCTGGTTCATGATCCGCGACTTGATCACATCCGCCGGTGTACTCAGCCCGGCGCCTGCGAATCCGGCAATAATGGCCGACAGAAACTGGATGCCCCTACTATCCGGCTGGTCAAGCATCCTCATCAGGGATCTTTTGCTCAGGTCGTAGAAGCTTACATCCCCTTTTATTCGTGAAGAAGTCGTTCTTAGCTGGAGGACAAGAATATCAATAAATGCTCACCCAAAGTAACCAGGGCGGCGCACCAAGTACTGGGCACGCTTCCCTTCCAGAGGCCTACTATCCCGCCCGTCTGGTAAATGGAAGTCAGAGCTTGAAAAACGTTGTGGATGCGTGGAGGCTCTCCCATCAGACGACGTTTGCCCTCCATCTGCATCTGAATCTTGATCAGGTCACTGGGAACGGTGACAATGCTGGCGCCGGCACCAGCGGCGATCCCGCTGATTGAAGAGCCCAGGAATGTGAGGCGCGGCCTGCCATCCTTTCCGGCAACAATTACCCTCTCGCGGATGTTGTCGTAAATGAGCATCTTGATCCCAGTGAAGAAGGAGTGGCGCAGAATCATGGCGGAAATGCCGCCGTATAGCTTGTGAACGCCCTCTTCCTTAATGATGCCCTGGGCGGTGGCCAAGAGGCCTCGGTATCGCGCCTGCTGACTCACTCCTGCCTTACTGGCCAGCTCGCCCTGGATCTGCATCCGGGTCTTGCACACATCGAAGGGGTAGCCCACAACCTCTGCACTGCAAGCGGAGGCGAACGCGGTGATGTACATCTCCACGAAGGGAGTCTTCCTATTAGTCACCAGGTAGTGTAACCTCAATGATTCATTCTCCTCCGGCAGGCGGTACGGGGCGAATGTGGACACATAGTCCATGTCCCTGCCAACCTGTACATCCGAGGGTTCGTGTGGAGGTGGACACTCATTGTCCTGCGATGCCATAATAGCGAATCTTCTAGCTTCTAACAAACGAACTAGAAAAGGCCCTAATAGGAACTGCCTATCTGAAAGTAAGACATTTTCTGAAAACCAAAAATAATCATATACATCAAATTTAAATAAATGACGTACAAATAGGGTTTATTTTCAAAACACATGTATATTTTTTTCAGGATTGAATATTATTTTAAATAGAATTTAAGTTTATTGAGAAGAATGTTTGCGGAGCCTGAAACGACCCTTAAGAGACATAAGGATATAAAAATACATAAAAAATTAAACAAAAAATTAAAAGAAGATTTTTAAAGTTTGTTAAAATTTAAATAGAAGTGGAATTCGGAAACTAAAACACCTCTGAAATAAGTGTTACGATTAACTGATTTTTTTATCATTGTTTTTTTTATTTAATTTTTATAATTTATGACAGGCTTTAAAGCATTACGAAATGGGTTTCCCTTAATACTTAATTTCGGGGGAGATAAGTTTTAATTTGGACCCCAAGCAGTGACTGCAAGAAAACAACCCCTTGGGAATGGGAGCACCAATATAATTCTAAAACACTCCTCTTTTTCTACGAGTAATGTGAATAAGTGGAGCTGTCATTCAACCGGCTGTCGGTTGGTTTCCCACTTTAATGTGTAAATTCCTCCTAGTCTCGGGGATCCCACGCCATCCCCCTCACAAGTCTTTAGCACTTTTGTTAAATGAAAACGGAGGGAAAATGTGAAAAGTCTGCGACGCACGCAATCCTAGAGCGATTTAAGAATGGGATCCCAGTGTTTATTAGTCATCACTCGGTGGTGGGCTGACATAAATATGGGTCAGGTCAGTTTCGAAGAAGTGGCACTCCCAGTCATCTAACACTCGGTGACCGACTCACCGATTTTCGGTTTTTATGCCACTTTCAAGCTCTATAAAACACATGGTACATTCTGCCCCCCAGACACCGCTTGGAAAATGCTGACTATTGGCAGGTTGTCGGAACAATCGGAGAAACCTGAGAAGTTTGTTGAACTAACCAAACGAAATGTTTGTTAAAATTGCCAGAATCAGCTTAAATGAAAAATATTGCTCAAATATTGGTATAGAACATTTGTAATACCCTTTTTTCTTAAAGGGAAATTTTCATAGAAAGTGGCAAGAGCTCCTTCAGGTTCCTTGCAATATTGAAATAGGTATTTGTTATTAATATATATACATATAAAAGTAGCTTTAAAATGATCCTCTTATTCAGGCTACCCTTCTCTGAAAGGGTATTATTACCTTTAAAAGTAGAACCTTTAGTGAGGTCCGTCAAAAAATCGCCAATGCATTTGTATTCATTCAGTTTATTGAATTCGAGTGAAACAAACTCCTATTACGAGCACCAAAGAATATAAAGGAGAAGAAGCCAGTTTGTGAGGAAATTTCGAAAGATTGCGGGGGTTACTCCTCTGTTGGGTAATACACGTGGGTGTGGAAAGAGGCTACGAGTTTCTAACACCTCTCTGTTCCATTGCAGTGGCTTCCAGAATACTATAAAAGCTTAGCTCCAAGTCAAGCGGAAGTTAGTGAGCGGAAGAATATGGAAAACCATTCACAGACCCGGATACTAATGTGGCTGTGGATCTGCCTGGTAGTTCGGCTGTCCGTAGCCGACTCCCAAGGCACCATGACCACAATTTGCGTGGAGATCAGGCCCAGTGGACCGCAGGAGGAGCCCTACTACATGTGTCGTGGAGCCAGCTTCGGCGGTGAGAACGGTCAGCAGAGCTGCGTGGAAGTCCGGAACCAAGGCGGGCAAGGAGAGCCCTTGTATATGTGCCGGGGCGCGGAATACTTTGGTCCAGGTGGCGAAAGTCGTCCTTTACCAGAGCATTTTCCTGTTGAGCCCCATACCTTTCCGTCCTTTCCCGCCTTTGGGGGCGGGAAATTTCAACAGCCCATGGCACAGGAGGGAGTCCCACCATCGCACTCGCCGGCATACCAGGAGCAGCCCCCCCAGCCTCAGCCTCCGCTTGAGCAGCAACCACCCGCCGCCCAGTATGGATTCCACGGAAGCCCTATGGCTGCCCCTGCACTTCCACCTCAGGCGCAGCCGTATGGCCTGCCAGCAGTTTCTTACCCACCTCTTGGAGGCCCGACAGCAGTTCCACCAGGAGCTCCAATTGGCCCAGGCCCAGCGGCCACGGCCTCTCCACATGATCCTGCAGCGTCTGCGAGGGCGGCGAAACTCTTCAGGGATCAGATAGTGGGGAGCAGTCGCCATAAGCCAACTCTTGATGATGATGTCCTCGGAATGCCCAATATAGGACATAACAAGGAGGAGCTCAACCAGCAGTATCGTCGACCAGTGGAACAGCAAATGGTCTGGGTTCCGCTGACGCACTCCCAAGATCCCCACAACGATCCCGTGATGAAGGCTTTTTACAAGAGCCTGGCTACAGACCCAGTTGTGGGCCAGGCCGGTCCCGGCTATGCTCCGCCGCAGGAGCCCTACCAACAGAATCCAGCTCCACCAACACTGCCACCAGCGCCCCCAGCCTACGCCCAACCTGAGGCGCCCAGTAACTATTGCAGTGAGTGCAGTGCTTCGACTCCAGCAGTTCAATGTCCGGCAAACCCGACTACGGACAACGGAATGGCTTACATCCCGACCTGTCCCAGCTTCCAGCCGGTCATCATAGCCATGCCCTGCTATGGTTCCCATCAACCTGGGAATTACTTGCCCGTTGCGAGACCAGGACCCCCAGTGTTACCAGCCCCAGGAGTGGGTTCACCCTTTGGATTGCCTCGCCCCTTTGGAGGGGCGTTCGGACTGGGGGGCCAAGTGGGAAGTCCCTTTGGAGGGACCCCTCAGATGGGAGACCAACATGTCGGTGGCCCCTTCGGCATGGGCTTGGGCCTTAATCCCATTCTGAATCCATTTGGACCGTTTGGAAACCTTAATCCATTCAATCCCTTCAACCGCGTCCTCGGATCTCCAAATGCTGCAACAGCACCACCACACCCCAACATATTCCAGAATGTTTTCCAGCCTTTCGAGGGGGTGGAGAGCACCACCACGACCTCTGATTCCTCTTCTTCCATGGATTCCCCCACTGAAAGAACCGGAAAGCTCAATTTCTCTGCCAGCACTCCCTCTCCTCCCAGTACAACCCAGAGTGTAACCGTGGGCGCTGCTCACGAAACTACGGATGATCAGGATTCGGATGAGGATGACGATGATGGTGCGGATCAGGAGACGACTGCACTTCCGGCTTTTGAAGATAATGCTTCCGCCTCTGAAGCCGATTCGAAGGAACTGTCGGCGAAGCAGCTGGTGAACAAGGCAGCGGATCTGCTCAAGCCTGAGAAAAGAAAGCGACACAATTCCCGATCTAATAGTCCTCAGAAACGAAAGTATCTGCAGCAGTTGTAGCTGTTTAACTTAAGGAGATGAATAAAACTTTAATTGTAATATGAGAAGAATAAGTTAATGATATTTTACACTTTAGGGGAAAGCATAAATGCTAGGTATTAAAAGATCGCAAACGATACGATACCCTTATTCCTATGTGGTCTTTTGCTAAATTTATTCGTAGCCATTTCTTAAAAATGTGTGACAGGGAGTAGGACACATAGCCCCTAAAGTCTTAACTAGGGGCTATAAAAAAAACCTCTACTTCCTCCCAATTTTATTAAGCTTCTCCCGAAATGTTTTTTTTTCTCTAGAAACTTCCTTGGCTGACCCATTTAGCTGCTTGTTCTCCAAACTTGTGGCGGATGAGTAAGCCAATCCGCGATGAATAAGCCACTTTGGGAAGCATTTTATATAGACATTGTATATTTATATATTTATTATGTATACGTGTATCTTTTCTCTTTGCTATTTCCCGACGTACTTCCGTTTGCCTAAGCCGCATTTCGCTTTCCTCCGGCATTCAGCTGAGCCGATTTATGGCTCTTCAAAAAAAAACAGAAAAACAGAAAAAATCCAGCCACGCTCCACGAACCAAACAGGAACATCAAGCGTTGAGGTTGAGCTGTGTTTCGCTGGCGATTAGTAATTTCGAGCACGTAAGAGAACAATTTAAATAAACAATAAATAAAGCAACAAAATTATCATGAAAATGCAAGTAATAACTGAAGTCAATGCACCCGACTTTAAGGTTGCTGGCGGGCTTTAAGTCTCTGACTGAAATATAAAATTTAAAAGAAGTTGTCGACATCGTAGAAAAGGTTTCCCCTTTAAGAAACTTTTACCCCAGAGGCGGATACCCTCTTAGTCTTCGAATACCGGGTATATTTATACAAAAACGATAAAACCCTTACGTTGCAATACCAGAACTCGCCACAAATACAATTGTGTTCGAAGTATCTAGGGGGCGATTGTGCAAACATTTATACCCAATCGACAGCCAGTATCTGAAACTGATGAACTGGCAATTATGACCAAGTTTTTTGCAGCAGCTCGCTGGAAAATCGTGGCTAGAAAAATTGGTAGTCGAAATCGTAATTTCGCGGCGTGAGGTTTAAGGTACCAGAAGATGATAGACTTCCGAACAGGCCCCTTAGCTTTGGCCGCGTTGGCCGTGTGCCTAGGATTGTCCAAGTGCCAACAGGACCTACCGGCATCCAATGGCATAGCCATGCCAGTACCGGGGGACCCGCTCTACTATTTGAATGCTGATGCAGGTCTTTCCGTGGCTCCCACCGTATCCCTGAAACGCACCAATCGTTCCCTGCTGAAGTGGTGGGACGACCTCTTTCTGCGAAACAATTGCTGCAACAATAACAACAACGTTGTTTATCCGCCAGCACCTGTTGTACCACCTCTGGTGAACAATAACTGCAACGGTGGGCTGCAGCTCCAGGACCTTGATCCTTTCAAGCAAATAAAGCTTTTCAAGAAGCTGCCCGACCTCTTCACGCCTCCCAGTCCATGCGGTCAGACTTGCGGTGGCTGCGGACAGCTCCCCCAACCACAGCCAAACTATGTTGCTCCTTTGGCTCCTGCCTATGGTGGGGAAGGGTATGCTCCGGTGCCAGAGGAAGAGTACGTCAAACCTAGTCCCAACTACGACGGTCCAGGAGATGGCAACGCCGGCTATGTGTCACCACCCGCCACAGACACCTATGTGGCACCGGTTGCTCCTGCGCCTGCGGCTGTAACTTATGAGGCGCCCGCTCCAGCATACGAAGCTCCAGCTCCAGCTCCAGCATACGAAGCGCCTGCTCCAGCCTACGAGGCACCTGTAGCTCCGCCAGCTGCCTATGCAGCCCCGGCTCCTCCAGCTGCCGAATATGTAGCCCCACCGCCACCAGCTCCCGCTCCTGCCGCCGATGTCTATGCTCAGCCAGCTCCAGCCGCAGCGCCACAACTACCGCCGATTGTCTACCAACCCATAATTTACGTCTCCTCCCCCTTGGTCTCCAAGTCCCAGGTGCAGGCTGACGAAAACCCGGCTTATGGAGCTCAGCCGGCACCACCAGCTCCCGTCTACGAGGCTCCGGCACCTGTTAATTATCCTCCGCCCCCATCGCCCTGTGGGGGTTACCCTTCTTACGCGCCTTCCACCCCCAACTATGCCACACCCTCTTGTCAAGCCCCCATCCGCCTGTCACTGATCGACCAGCCTTACCGAGTGGCTCCGGAACTCTTCGAGGAGTACAACTATCGGCTCGACTTGGCGGCACAGAATTTAATATAGATTACGACTCGTTGTTCCTTGACCAATATGTAAATAAAAAGTATATAACGATTGTATGGTTATGATTCATATGGGCTTAATGGATAGGTTTTTATTTTGTACATTTTTGTAATTGTTCTGAAGATATTGAGTATAGTGGGCTTAAAGGTCAGGTTTTATCCATTATATTTGAAGCAGATGAACCAAATTTTACCCAGTTGAACCTGCCAATGAACTCCATTGAGGGGGTGTACCTTTTAAAATGTATTTTATTTTATTTAGTTGATTAGTGATTTTCTATGTGAGAAAATTGTAAGTCAGTTTCATAAATTTTATAGTTTTTAAACGCATGTTTTGCTATTCAACAGATGGAACACGTATATTTGTATTTTTCTTACAAATACTATTTAAAGTTTATCCATTTACACTTTATTCATCCTATGGCAGGTGACATTCTAATTTTGGCCAAAAGTATGCAATGGGTCTGTCTGTATAAATAACTTGTTCTATCCAAACTATTTAAAATAGTATTTTAATTTTGTTCCACGTTGTACACTTTACAGACACAGACACTCTTTTAAGGCCTTTTTTTAAATTATTTATATCGTGAGGGTGGATCAGACTTATCTCCACAACGAAGGATTGGTGATTTGTATACCCTAGCAGAGGGTATTCTAATTGTGTTCAAAATTATTGATCGCAGGAAAGGAGACCTCAAGGGTTCTTTAAAGATATGTGTTTTTGATCAGGACTACCTCCTGAGTCGATGAAAGAAAATCCTTCTGTTTGTCTGTCTAAGCTCTCAGTTTAAAACTAAAGCCTTCGACATTATTTTTTTTTTAAAGATAGAATGTTGGGACTTTCTATAAATTCTGTTCTTCTCCGATCTGTCTGATCCGATCTACCCAAACAATATTTGGTATTTTCGATATATATTCGATCTTAGCTGCAAGGGTATATCAACTTTGGTCTGGCTCAGAGTTAGCTTTCCATTCTTGTTATATAAATAAAATGTAAATATATCCCAATAATAATAAGCTTTTCAGAGATATTATTTTAGAGACTTTTATTAGGGATTTGAAATTAATTACTCACATACAAAACACAGAATATATCTTATTTGTATAGTACTTTTTATCATTATGTGATTATTACTAGTTTGTTCCATGCCTCACACTGGGTACATACATTACACTTAACTAGACTTTGATATCTTATACAATTTGCATACAAAGTCACAGATGACGTAGCAAGAACTTGAGCTGGGAATAGGCGGAATTTTTCCAGCTGTTTGGTCTGGTCTTTCCCGCTGCCCGCTTCTCGTTCTGTTTTCGGTTTCGAAATCAAAATTCCATAACACATTGCACCAGATAAACGAAAACCCCGCCCCCCACACCGAACTGCAATCCACGCGGGCATGAGGGCAGGCTGTGTGAAATGCGATAATCACCCAAAGATAGGAGCCAGCCATGACCGAGACCAAGACCAAGTGAAAGTGACCGCAGCCCGAGGAAGTTGGTCGTCTGCGCCCGGCTGGCAATTACTATAGAGGCGTCCGATGCGGTTGCCGCCACTTCCTCGCTTTGCATGTGGCACGCACTCCTCTCACTCCGGCGATCATCGCCTCACATTTACACGCCCGTGCTCGGATGCATGACGCGATGCTTTTCATAATCTCTTACTTGCTGAGTGAGCGGAAAATATGGCTTGTTTGATCTTCAGAGGGGTTGGGATGGCATGGTCCCTTGGTCACATAGAGCATAGGCCGGAAAGTAAAACAGCTGGAAGTAACCATGGCTTGTTGACCCAATTGTGCCTGCGCAATAATAGGGGTGTTACAAATTAAATTAGTATGATCGTTAATTTTAATTGGTAACCATTAAGTTCTACACCTCTTCTTATATATGTACTACTTAAGGGACTAAGCTAACTTCGGGCGGAGCCAAAGTTGATATACCCTTGCAGCTAAAACCTGATATACATCCAGCTAAAACCCCTGTAAATGTGTTTTTTCCCGTATATGGCTCACAGTGATGGCTGTTTCTTCCCCAATTCTCATCCGATTCTTAAGCGGAGTACCTTAATCGAATTCTGGATCGATTTGCCACCATTCTGCATCTAAACTCTGAGACAAAATATTTTTTAGATTTTTTGTCCATTTTTCGTGAGGGACCCTTGAAAATGAGGATTTCCCTTATATGGCTCAGAGTGATTGCTATATCTTTCCCAATTCTCATCCGATTCTTAAGCGGAGTACCTTAATCGAATTCTGGATCGATTTGCCACCATTCTGCATCTAAAACCTGATAGAAAATATTTTTTAGATTTTTTGTCCATTTTTCGTGATGGGATCCCTTGAAAATGAGGAGTTCCCTTATATGGCTCACAATGATGGCTATATCTTCCCCAATTTTCACCCGATTCTTAAGCGGAGTACCTTAATCGATTTCTGGATCGATTTGCCACCATTCTGCATCTAAATCCTGAGACAAAATATTTTTTAGATTTTTTGTCCATTTTTCGTGATGGGATCCCTTGAAAATGAGGATTTCCCTTATATGGCTCACAGTGATGGCTATATCTTCCCCAATTCTCATCCGATTCTCAAGCGGAGTACCTTAAACGATTTGTGGATCGATTTGCCACCATTCTGCATCTAAATCCTGAGACAAAATATTTTTTAGATTTTTTGTCCATTTTTCGTGAGGGATCCCTTGAAAATGAGGATTTCCCTTATATGGCTCAGAGTGATTGCTATATCTTTCCCAATTCTCATCCGATTCTTAAGCGGAGTACCTTAATCGAATTCTGGATCGATTTGCCACCATTCTGCATCTAAATCCTGAGACAAAATATTTTTTAGATTTTTTGTCCATTTTTCGTGAGGGATCCCTTGAAAATGAGGATTTCCCTTATATGGCTCAGAGTGATTGCTATATCTTTCCCAATTCTCATCCGATTCTTAAGCGGAGTACCTTAATCGAATTCTGGATCGATTTGCCACCATTCTGCATCTAAATCCTGAGACAAAATATTTTTTAGATTTTTTGTCCATTTTTCGTGAGGGATCCCTTGAAAATGAGGATTTCCCTTATATGGCTCACAGTGATTGCTATATCTTTCCCATTTCTCATCCGATTCTTAAGCGGAGTACCTAAATCGAATTCTGGATCGATTTGCCACCATTCTGCATCTAAATCCTGAGACAAAATATTTTTTAGATTTTTTGTCCATTTTTCGTGATGGGATCCCTAGAAAATTAGGATTTCCCTTATATGGCTCACAGTGATGGCTATTTCTTTCCCAATTCTCATCCGATTCTTAAGCGGAGTACCTTAATCGAATTCTGGATCGATTTGCCACCATTCTGCATCTAAATCCTGAGACAAAATATTTTTTAGATTTTTTGTCCATTTTTTGTGATGGGATCCCTTGAAAATGAGGATTTCCCTTATATGGCTCACAGTGATTGCTATATCTTTCCCAATTCTCATCCGATTCTTAAGCGGAGTACCTTAATCGAATTCTGGATCGATTTGCCACCATTCTGCATCTAAATCCTGAGACAAAATATTTTTTAGATTTTTTGTCCATTTTTCGTGATGTGATCCCTAGAAAATTAGGATTTCCCTTATATGGCTCACAGTGATGGCTATTTCTTTCCCAATTCTCATCCGATTCTTAAGCGGAGTACCTTAATCGAATTCTGGATCGATTTGCCACCATTCTGCATCTAAATCCTGAGACAAAATATTTTTTAAATTTTTTGTCCATTTTCTTGATGGGATCCCTTGAAAATGAGGATTTCCTTTATATGGCTCACAGTGATGGCTATATCTTTCCCAATTCTCATCCGATTCTTAAGCGGAGTACCTTAATCGAATTCTGGATCGATTTGCCACCATTCTGCATCTAAATCGTGAGACAAAATATTTTTTAAATTTTTTGTCCATTTTCTTGATTTCCCTTATATGGCTCACAGTGATGGCTATATCTTTCCCAATTCTCATCCGATTCTTAAGCGGAGTACCTTAATCGAATTCTGGATCGATTTGCCACCATTCTGCATATAAATCCTGAGACAAAATATTTTTTAGATTTATTTTCCATTTTTCGTAATGGGATCCCTTGAAAATGGCGTTTTACCCTATAGGATCCCTATGAAAGTTGGTATGTTGTATTTTTTTGGCAATGCAATTATTTTTGAAATAATGTATAATAAATTAGAAAGGTTTTATATCGGAAAGAGTAGCGTTTGAAGTAAAAAAAATGTCCCATTTCTGGGAAGATGGGAAAATGCTGCACCGATTTTAACACTTGAAAAAACTCCTAAAAACATGCATGTAAATAATCATAGTTTTATCAATTATCCGATTACATTTCGGAGTTTTTGAGTTTTTATTTACTCATATTAATTTAAAAAATCCAATCCTTATAGAAACATAAATCAATCAAAATAAACCAAAAATTGCATTTTGTTTCTGTAATTATGCCTAATAAACATTATATGATTTATTTTATTATTCCTTAAAATATAATTTTTAATTAATCATAATTAATCAGAAAGAAGCGAATTCTTTTTCTCATTCAACCTATTTCATCTTCTGTAAAAAAATCTTCAAGATTATATTTCTTAGTTTCAAACATAAAATTTAAAATCGTGTGTCACCGCAGGTGCCAATAATAATGTGACACAAAATAATATATGAATGTCGAGATAAAGTGCTCAAGATCCCAGATAAAAAAAATGTACCATACACAAGATCATCTAGGCGGGGGCCTCTAAAATCGAATCTACAAATACATATGGGTAAAAAAAATAAATATCAATTGGGAATATTCCATACAATTATATTTTAGGCCTTTGTGGAAATAATATGTATGTGACCTAACTCAAAATTTCTTCTTGCGAGCTGATGTGTTGATCTGAGTGAGTCGTTTTAAATTCGAGTCATTGCCACATATTTTCAAGTGAGTGAACTTCCCATGTCATCTCAGAAGTGGTTGCCTTTGTAGGGGGTTTATCAAGGAATATGTACACATGGTCATATATGAATATTTATATATTCACACTCTCTGCGTGTATGCGAAGAAACATATTGGGGGAGAATTCAAAACAAAATACGAATTTTATATTTAATTTTTGGTTATTTATATGCGAGAGCTATAGATAATACAATTTCGAGTAGAGACAAGTTATTTGGGTCGTTGCACTATACGTATATGTTTGGAAAAATTTTTGGGAGTGCGTTTCAAAATTGGACAAAAAGGCAGGGAATATAATATTTTTTTTATATAATTTTAATTTATTACCTCAGAAAAGAAGATAAATATAATTGTGTAAAAAGGCCTTGGAAATCTATTTTATGATGTAATACATTTTTTTTTAACATTTATGATCTTCTGTAGAGTTGGGCTATAATATATACATATGGCTAATATATTGGGTTAAATTTTTGTATAAACTAATTGGTGTCTAATTGTTATAAGATGCTTACTACTCTAACCATGCATATGGTTACTATTATGTATAGAATATTTCCCATATAAATCATATTTTGGCTTCTACATTGCTTTATATTTTAATAATATATAGTTCTATTATTTTTTTAACAATGAAATATTTCCAATCTTTATTAAAAAAGGGGTTAAAAATAGATGAACATATACGAAAATTTTCAGATTGAAGTTATAAAGATTATACCTAATATTTTCATATCCATAATTTTACCAAGTTTGAAGAAATTACCAAGTTGAAAATATAGAAAGCACTCTGGTAACTGGTATTATTTCGACACATGTAAAACCAGAGCACATGCCTTTCATATTTCCACCCACCTTTGGAGTGCAATGCACCAAATTTTAAAATGTGTTAACATTTTTGCCAACCTAAGCACTCTGCCGCCTAGAGATGACCCAAAAAACTGATGTCGTGGTTTAAACAAAGTCAGCGGTATAAATATTTTCAAGTTGGGCTGATGAGGCAGAAAAGAAATTAAGACAAAAACGATGTGTAGTTAGTGTGTTTTAGTTCTGGAGGTAGTGCTAACTAGGCAGATCGGTTGACTATATAAACTAGAAGATTGGTCGGTATTGGCATCAGTCACCTTTGGTAACTACAACAGCTCAACCAGCTCTCACCAGCCACCAACTCCAACTCCAATCAAGATGAAATCCTTCGTGTGCATCGCCCTCGTTGCCTTCGCCGCCGCCGCTCTGGCCTCTCCCACCAACGTGGCCACTTCCTCCCTCACCGGCACCACCGGCGGAGCCACCGTGGCTCTGACCTCCCAGGACAGCGAGGTGGAGGGAGTCACCGGACAGGGCTATGGTGATCTGACCCGTCTGCGCAAGTCTGCCTACGGTGGCAGCGCCGGTGGATACGGAGGCTCCAGCATCCAGGCCCCTCCCTGCCCCAAGAACTACCTGTTCAGCTGCCAGCCCAACCTTGCTCCCGTCCCATGCAGCGCTCCTGCTCCCAGCTACGGATCCGCCGGCGCCTACTCCTCCCCGGTGGCCACCTACGTTGCACCCAACTACGGCATCCCCCAGCACCAGCAGCAGATCTACAGCGCCGCCTACGTTCCCCAGGCCTATGGCTACCAGTACTAAGGATAAGTCCTTCTGCCGCACCAGCCATTTGATCGTCGACCATGCTAAGAACAAAATAATTTGACCCTTAAAAAATACAAAAAAATATATTTGCATAATAAAAAGCAAAAAATTAAATTTCTAGAGTGTTTTTATTTATTTTAGAATTTTAAAAAATAGGAAACTTGTTAAGTTGGATACTAAGTATTAGGTAGAGGAAATTGTAATACAATATACTCGTATATGTATTTATAAATAACAACTTAATAACAATAGGTAACTTACTATCTTCCGGGATCGAGGATTTATTTCAAAAACTATTTCTACAGTTTCTTACTAACACTATATAGTAAATCTTCCTATTTCCTATATATTGAACAATAAAAACTACTGGGAGACAGAGGAAAAATTTAACATTTTGGATTCAAAATTCGTAAATACCAATTTTATCAGCCTTTATTAAAGTTTATTAAATTATATTTTTTCAATAAAAATCTAACAAGGATATATTTATTTCTTATACACTTTTGTATCGTTTTCCTTTTACGTGCTACGCTTTACCATAACATATACTAATATTAATATTATGATATACTCATATTAATATACAATTAGATACTTTTTTTTTTAAGAAAAACGATTCTATATAAGTTACATTCAAAATATATATTCAAAAGACTATGATTTTCTTCATGAGAGAAACGTAAAAACATGAAAGGGTATTGTTTTTTAGGGTATACTTTATCATAAAATAAATATTAATTTTATATAATATTTGCAATATTTGTTATAGAATTTTAAGAAGTTCCTTAAACTATTTTATACCTAATTTATACCTAATATAGACTAATTATGTTTTATAGCCTCATACATTTTTGATAACTTTATAATTTTACAAACATAAAAAGTGTATTTAATTATATAATATAATATTTATGCGCTCAAAATCATAGTGGTAAGTTGTTGAATCGGAAGCCAAATCTACAAAAATAATTGCTAGGTCAGCAATAGCCGCGTTTACCTGGAAGTGTGGATTTAAAAGACCAGTTGGGTCTATGAACTTTAGTTAATGCTTAAGCAAGCCGAAAATATTTTAGAACAAAAAAGTAATTTTATTGGGATTGAACCGCGGATAAGGAAAATGTGATTGCGACACATCCGAGACAGCGATGCAATCGACAAGCCAAGCGCAAAAGTGGAAAGTGCAAACGCCGAGGTAATACGATATCCGATCCAATCAAATGGTTGACTGGACGGTCAGCCCCCACCGGCTTCGGAGACACAACCCCTAGCTACATCCAATGTGCTGGCCTTCGGGCTTAAGGTTCTCCAGTTTCTCGCCGAACAGTAATGTCTTGACCAGGGCACGACTGGGACATGGCCCAGGGCCTTCTTCCCGATGCCATTTGCATTCGACCCCATTTCTACCCACTTCCTCTAGCCAGAATATGCGACCCACTGACCCACCTGAGCAGGTCACCTTGCCCGACGCTCTGTCTTGGCTGCATTTTTTTCCACTTTCGCTTGGCATTGCACTTTCAGATGAATGAAGTTATAAAAACCATCTGACCACGCCGCAGCTCGGTTGTCTCAGTTTACACGGCCGCCAGAGTAATCAATATGCTGAGATATCTTGGATTCTTCCTCATTCTTGCTGTGGCCACTTGTTTGGGTCAGCTAACTGGCTATAGTACCGTGCTCACCCCTGCCACCAGATGCGTAAGGAGCTTGCCCCTGCCGCTCTACCATTTTATTCCGGTGCGAGCTCTTACGCCTAAGCCCTTCTTAGAGGATTTGGATTCGCATTCGGAGCTGATTCGCCAAGCGCGCCAACAGCAGATCGTTCAGGAGGTGATTGTAGAGAACAACTTTGGAGGCCCAGGATTTGGGGGACCTGGATTCGGTGGTCCTGGATTCGGTGGTCCTGGAATCGGTCGTCCTGGATTCGGGGGTCCTGGTTTTGGTGGTCCTGGATTTGGAGGACCAGGCTTCGGAGGTCGAGGTTTTGGACGTCCAGGTTTCGGTGGATTTGCTCGGAGCTACGACCAGGAGGAACCAGAGCCATATGAGGCGCCTGCTGAGATCAAGTCTCCGCCTTGCCCAAAGAACTATGTATTTTCCTGTGAAGCGGTAATCAAGCCTGTTCCCTGTGGTTCCAGCCCCTGTTCTGGTTATTGAGAGAATGAGAACTGATAAATAAAAATTAAATAAAAGTCTTATTATGATAAAAGTTACTTCCGAAACAATTTGGTTTTATTTTATCAAAGGTTTCCTAAAAATTTCATATATTATAATTTGACAGGTTAAAAACTTTGTTTTGAGGTGTGGATTTTTATCAAAATAGAACCAATCTACAAATCGTATTAATATTTATCTTATCCGTTGTTTACGAATCGAATAAATATTAACTAAATGTGACTTCGGACCTTATATGTACATATATACGAATAACTCTGTTTTATGAATGAGGAAAATTAACAAAAATATTGAATGATATGGCTTTTTGGCTCTTAGTTTTCGATGCAGATTAATGGTGAATATTCAAGTATTCCGATTGGGAATCGATAGCGGAAACCCTACAAGAAGGGTTTTAGAAATGTTTCTTTTACATCAGAAACATTTGAAAACAAAAATGGACGGCTATAGACGAGTTGCCCGACTATATTTATTACTATTATCTATTAATAGTATTATTAATATAATATACCTAATACTATTATCCCGTCTATTATCTTAGGAACAAGTTTTTGTTGCATACTTTTGCGATTTGGCAAAACAAAAACGACAAACTTACGGCCATACTACCGATTCAGTAGGGAAACAGACTAAAAAGTCTATAACTCCTCTAAAAATTATTCGATTTGGCTGATTTTTGATTCGTGGGTGTAGATTAGCCATTGGAACAGTTTGGCATCAAAATATTTTCCAAAAAAATTAACGAACTGGAGCTACAACCAGATTTCTGTTTTGGAGGTCCAAAGATAGGAAGGAATACCTGATCCAAAGATAGGAAGATCCACCGTTTGTATGGGAAATCGTATATGCATGATGTATATGGGTAAATCTCCTCTCAAAATGGGACGAATAGAAATAGTTTGGCATCAAAAGTTTTTCAAACTCCATTTAATTCAACAAAGATGTAGCCATGCAAAGGGTCATATGTCACTATCCCAATATGTGATTATATGGAAGGAACAATTTTTTTGAGGAAAATAACTTGACCAAATAATAAAATTAAAGTCTTTTTCTTATAAGCAATGCATTTTATTCAAAAGTTCGGTTTTTCATTTGAGCCATGATCGATTTTACAACTCCCGGACGTAAGGAACGGCGTACTGTGGCACGTACTGGGAGTAAGCGCCGGCGGAGCCGTAGGATAGAGCTGGGGCGGAGCAGGGGACGGGCTGCAGAGAGGGCTGGCAGCTGAACAGGTAGTTCTTCGGGCACGGGGGCGATGGGATGGAGGCAGGGGCGGAGTAAGCGGGGGCGGCAGGAGCAGGAGCGGCGGAGTAGGCAGGGGCAGCTGGGGCGGAGTAGGCTGGAGCAGCTGGGGCGGAGTAGGCTGGGGCAGCTGGTGCAGCGTAGGCGGGAGCAGCAGGAGCGGCTGGAGCGGCATACGATGGAGCAGCGGGGGCGGAGTACGAGGGAGCGGCGGCTGGGGCTGCGTATCCGCCGTAGGCAGCACGCGACACACGGATGTTCTCGGCCAACGGTGCCGGGATCAGGATACCTTGGGTGGGCTGGAGCTGGATGGTCTCGGCGCAGACGGCGGTCATAGCCAGGAAAGCGACGACGAGGATGTTGCGAATGGCCATTTTGATGGAAGGTGCTGATGTCTCTACTTGCTGCTGAAGTGGCGAACGAAGACGAACTGTTGGTTAATCCCCCTGAAGCAACCAACTTTATAGCCCCAAATGTCGAATAGCAAGACCTGCATTGCCGGAGTAGAACACCAACGATCGGGAAAAAATGCAAATCAAAGCAGTGTCCCAAAAATGCTGACATCCATCCACCAACCCGGGGAGTGCTTTGGTGTCGGGTATTGGGTTTTCATTTTTTGTGGGTGCTCTGCATTCGCCACATAGCTGCATAGCTCCACAATGATGACGTTTTGGTTATTGGTCCTCATTACGGTGACCTTAAATCCGAGATGGCCCGAAGCCACTTCCGCATCAATGTTCCAGTTTCTGGAGGGCCGGAATACCGAAAGCGATCAGAACTGGTCCCACCTGCTGCCCACAAACTTCTACTCTGAAATAAACCAGCAGTACTATCGGAGATTTCGACGCCATACCAGGATTGGAAAGGGAAGATGGAAACAGCCGCCATTACTTTTCGAATATGCCCGATACATTCGAGAATAAAATATAATATATTTTTTTAAATAGATAATTTGTAATAAAATAAATACATAAAAAAATTGATAAACTTTTCATTTCAATTTCTATCCTGCTCCTTGCAGGATAATATTCAAATGTTTTCCCCCGTTTATCGAAACTTTTTTTTATCGATAACTACTTGGTTTAACGGGATATGCGCATGCCTGCGTGGGCGCCTTTGACGTCACTAAGGCAAAGGACACAACAAACTCTGGACTGTCCAAACATAACAAAAAAGGATACCCACACCAACTAACGAGTTTTCAATAAAATTAAAAATGAAGCTAACCTTGCGACGCTATTCCTGGATCTTGATGCTCCAGTTCGCCCTCTTGGGAGTGGATCTCTTCTTCAATGCTTTTGGAGCTTCGTTGGCGAGGAATCGATTGCAGACCGCCATACTATTTTTTGTGTGAGTGGATGTCGAGCAAGGCTTAGATGAACCTCTTTTGAACAAAAATCTTTAGCATCCAGGATGTCCTCATCATTGCTGAGTATGTCCTGTTTACCTTCACTCTCCACTCGACCTGTGTCCACCAGGTGGGCGCCTCGCACATCATCCTTCGCAACTGCAAACTCTTCCTTATCAGCGTCAGTATCTACTTCCTGCTGTCTGCCTCGCAGCACTTTTGGATCGTCTCCCAATACCGCCTGGCTCCGGGAAACGAGGATGCAGAGTGGCCTCTTGGATTGATTGCCTTGTCTGTGACCCAGCGCATAGGTAAGAGGATAGGTCACTTCTCCAAGCACTCCGAATTTATGATTCTTGTTTTCCTGGCAGTTTCAGTGTTTTATTACTACAGCTGCAAGTCAACGGCTCTGACCATGGCCGATCCCCGATTTAAGGAGGAGTATGTTGACTGGATTGCAGAGCAGTTGGGTGATAAGTAATGGGACTGGAGAGGGTAGATTCTAGATAGGAAGGGCAATTGTAAATTGGTAATGGGAAGTGCAAATCAAGTGTAAAACATTTAAATAAATACTAGTTATGAGTAATTATTCTTCGATTTAATGTTTTAATGAGACTCTTGGCGCCATCTGTTGGTCACGATCAGAATGATTTCAAAAATGTATTTTTTCAGAGAAACTACGAAGGATTGTCTGCTGTGGCACTACTAATACATATGCCTATTAATATTATTGCATTATTTATTTAACTAGTTTGATTTCGGTACACAATAAATATTTACAATAAATGTGGATAAGCACCATATTAATATTGTCAAAAACTTTAAACACCTACTCTAAAGTTTAAATGTATTAAGGTAGGTTCAAATGATAAAGCTAATCGAATATTAGATGACATAATCAATAGGGATCAACAATTAGAAACTTTTGCACAATATACGGTCCTCTTAAGCTAATTGGTCCCCAGGAAAGGGCGTTGAACTACGTGCCCATGTATGAGAAAGGCACGCCGAATAGGCGCTCCCACTCCTGTCCCACCGCATTGAGGCAGCATTCGGCGCTGGTTTGCGTTTCGAAATGCAGTTGCCAGATCTCACACTTGTTCTGGGTCTCATCGATAAAATTAATCACGTATTGCAGGTCTGAGATTTGGTCCACATCCACCAAGTTGCTCATAGGCTGGATGAGGTTAAATTCTAATGGAGGCGGAGAAGAGTCTAGTTTCTTCGCCGATAGCCAAGTTAATTTGCCTTTTCCTGAGATGTAAAGCTGGGTCGCTGTGGTCAGGAGCAGGCAGGGCTCAAAGCTTTGTTGCTCCTGGCCACAAGTCCATTGGCAGCGGGGTAGTAGAGCGCATACTTTTACGGGCTCGGTCTCAATCGTCTGCAGGTAGTTGTTGAGTGCCTCGGAACCTTGCTGGCTTAGGACAGGCAAACCATTATCTAAATAATAATAAATGGCCAAATTAAATTGAAACGAATCTTAAATCCCTGGTATACACACCTTGAAGGTACAGTAGCAAGCTATCAGTCCTCAGCATGTCGAGCATCAACAACGAGAATCCACCCCAACCGCTGATGGTAAACGAGAGGCCCAACTTCCAAGGCAACACCTCAACAGCCGCCAACCGGTCTACGGTTACACTGACGGTCTGTCGTAGCCACTTGGCCACGTCGTCCTCGGGGGCTGCAAATGCCTCCATCAGGTATACTTTCTTCGTGGACATCACCAAGAGTCCTTCCCCGAGACCCTGGGTTTGCTCGTTGTAGATCCGTCCCTTGGCCAGCCACTTGATGTGCTCGCCTTCCAGCTTGAACTTGTTCTGGTAAAAGTAAAGCTTAAGGCGGTGATCGATGTCGCTGAAGTTGCTGTAGTTGAACTTGTATGGCTGGGCACCGGAGGCGGTGGCCTGCGACTCGATGAGTTTCTTCGAGCTGGACATGAGCAGATTGGTTGATTGGAAGACGGATGAAAAGGGCTGAGAGCCGACCTCAGTGGATGCCTTGAGCTGTCCGTTGGCATTTGGAGTAGTGGCGCTAGCCTGACTACTTCCCGATTGGGTGAGCGGAGAGTTTGGCAGGTTTGGGATCTTTTCTTTGCCCTGTTGCTCGTAGGAGGTGCATATACTGTCCGTCACCGACCCCGACGAGCTGCTCTCTGTAAGTTGAACTTGGGCAATAGCCGGTGCTGCTTCAAGCACTGTGTCTGCCGTAGATGGTGTTCCCGGCTGTGTCCGCTCTGCCAGCAACTGCTCCGATTCTCGCTCCATGAAAATCTGCGTTTGGCGAGCTGCATCGGCGGACGAAGCAAGATCTGATAGTTGGGATAGACGCCGTTCTTCCGAAGCCTTGCGACTACCACTTTGGACATAGTTGGGGTCCAGCACTTCGATGCTAGACTGGCTCGGATTGGAGATGATGTCCACATCACTCTCATTGGCCCGGAACTCCAGATCCCGATCCGTGTTCGAGCTGCCGACGACCGACTGATTGGAGTCGAAGGAGCTTCGAGAGTTTGTAATTTTGGAGCAGGAACTGCTGTCATTCAGCGAGTTGGCGGAACCTACAATAGTTCAATGTTAGTGACGATTCGGATAGGCCAATGGGGATTCAGATGAAGCAGCATTGCTTCTGTTATATTTAATAAATGTGATTTCATGTTAATTAAATTTGGAAGATTTTAAGCAGTTGTGGGGAATCAGAGTATTTTACACGTCCCTGGTTCGGGCTATTTAATTGCCTTTTAGTAAACTATAAATAATAAATAAGCTATTGGATTGCGGGGGACGTGTAGAATAGTCATTGTTTTAAACACCCTCAAATGCTGCTTCACAGAACAAACTAAAATGCAAATTGTAATTGCATAGCAAAAATCAAAAATATAAAATATACAAATTGGCATATTAACTTTTGGTGGTTTGCATCAAACTCCTATGCTTTGGTGTGTTTTTAGCGGTTGTTAGCCTGCAGTTGGCCACTAAAGTATTAATTAATATTTTACATCGCAACAAGGTTATTGTTGCCGGTTGGTGGGTGAGAGAAAAAGTACAAAACAATGTAAATATACAAAAGTTAGATTGGTTTTGCCATATCGATTTGTGTGTTTGCATGCAAAAAAGGAAAAAGAAAGAAATAATAATTAAATCAATGTACAATAATAATAATAATGACCAACTTAAGCTTAAGAGTACCAGTCAACGACCACATAAACCAATTACTATCTCAACAATTAACCAATGAAAACCATAAAACTATGTAACTACAATGATAGATTTCAAACACATTCCAAAACTTGATCAACGTAAAATAGGAGGCCTATCAAGGACTTGCCAATGCTGTTATTTTCCTCCTTATTTAACGCTAAAATCGGCGTTGTCACTGGTGGTGATTCTTCCACAATCAAGGCTGGCGAAATTTTTGGTTCCGGTGGGATTTCCACTTTCGGCTTTTCCATGGAGGCAGACAAATCCGTCACCTCTGTCACATAGACACTCCGGCAGTCAGGACAACGCAACCCTAAACAGACATACATTAGCATATACAATTTTTAATATTAAAGCTTTAGCAGGAATACCATCCGTTTTGTATCGTTTGCTTTTCTGCTCTACTGTAAACTGAGTCATGCAGTTCACGCAGCGATAGACGGCAATGTTCATTTCTGTGAGATCGCGCTGCGAGAGAATATTCCGGAGCTTTCCTTCCAACTCCTAGGGGTAAAAAAAGGAATTATTAATAGATCTTGGAGCATATTTTATAAACCGTAACCAACCTGGCACAAAGAACTCTCAACACAATATATGCGCTCCTTCTTGTCCTGCCGAATTGTGTTGAAAATGATTCGGAGGGTATTGGATTTGACACGTTCACAGGATTCCAGTATTTTCAGACTCCACTTTGTGATGGTTCTATAAAAAAATGTTACCTATTTTTATAATACCAGTTAGAAATAAGAATTCCTGACACTCACCGTTCACTAAGTGTGTCCTTCTCGCGAATAAAGTTTGAAGATATGGTAAGGAACATTGCTTCACTTGAGTTTTGTTCATTATAGACAATATATGTCTCCTCATCCGGTTCCGCATCGGAAACTAAAAAAAAAAATATATTAAAACTATAAAACTCTATTTTAAATATTTAAGCTCACCTGGGGTTTCTTCCTGAGCAGCATCCGGACTGCTGGCATAGAGGCTGAGCAATTGTGCGTGCTTGTCAGGCTCTTGATCCGCCTTCGACTTGGCGCTTTCATTGATGCTCTTATATTCGGTCTCATCACCCTCTTCGCAGGTCTCGTACAATGTTTGATCCGACACGTTTCCGGAGTCAGGTTTTATAGGAGTCAGGGTGCTGTCGAAGTGCGCGCCAAGAGCCGCGTTAGTCGGAGTGGAGCTAATGTTGGGAAGCTCTTCCTCATCCAGATCTGCCTGTGGGGATTTGGAAAGACCGCCAAGATACTCCTCGAATCGCTGCCGGCCCTGAATGATTTCCTCTTCACTGGTCTTTGACGCAGCCATACGGAGTAATTCCTCAGCATTACCTCCTTCCAGCCATTCCTCCGTTTCCAGGGCCTTGAGAAGAGACGGCTCCTTTGGCACTGGCTTCTGCTTCGCAGTAGAACTTTGAGCTATCTCACTGGTGTCATCTATGACCGCAATCCTGACGCGATTCCTGCTTTTAAATGAGCTCTTGCTGACCACGGATGTGTCCGTTTCTACCGACTGCTCAGTTTCGGAAGAATTGTCGTGGCCTCTGATCGACACTGACCGCTGTGACCCAAAGCTGGAGAACTGAGAGCCATCGCTGGTGTTGATGGAGGCAGTGGAACTGTTTATCGACACGGAGCTACTCCTCGGCATACGAGGCCCTATGTAGCGCCACTTTTGACTGCCCGTCAGTGCCTTTTCTGCCTTGGACAAGGGTTCGAAGTCTAAGACAAACTTGACAGTTGAAGTCTGCTTATGCAGATACTGCGCCGTCGCCTGCCGGTGCTTGGGATTGCACGCCAACGGATTTCCCTGAAGGCAGAGCGTGGTTAGAGTCATAATGGCACTCAGGGGCAGCAACTGCGAGTGCTCCAGCAGGCAGTTGTCGGACAGGTCCAGGCTGTTCAGCGAGTCCAGTTTAGCAACGTCTAGCAGCTCCTCCACGAAGTTGTTGCTGATGTTCAGGAGAAGCAGTCGCCTACCGGCTTCTGCATGGAGCTGCGGCAGGTACGTCAGGCAATTGTAGCTCAGATCGAGGGTTTTTAGGTTTGGCAGCCACTTTATGGCCGCCACGCTGGTTAGTTTGTTGTGTCGGAGGCACAGATGCTGGAGGTGGTGGGCGAACTCCAGAGCCGTGTCTACGCTACGCAGGTTGTTGTAGCTGAAGTCGGCCGATTGCAGCTCGTTCCAGACGAACCCGTTCGAGTTATCGCCACCACACCGAGTAATAATGTCGTCCACGCAGTTCAGGCTCTTAACACAAATAAGATGCTGCAGCTGACCACGAAGTGCCTGGATGCCCACCACCTGGTTTATGTTGATCTTGTGCACTTCCAGCCTCCGCAGTCCCCGGAATTTAGCAATGTCAATGGGACCCTCAAAGTGCAGCTCGCTGGGAAAGTGGGTCAGCTTCAGCAGCGTCGTCTTTTGAACAAAATCATGCAGCAGCTGCAGGTCAGGAAACACGCTGGACTTGGCATTGATGGGCTTGACCACTTGAAAGGATTGGTCGTGGGAGACCTCGGTGTCAGCGATCAAAGTAAAGGAGTCGTTCAGGGCTCGGAGAAGGGAACCTATAAAGAGCCATATTAGACGCAATTTGTGGGCATATGTGATCCGGGCAGAGAACAAAGCCGAGTGTCAGCCAACGCCCGCATGTTACCCACTGCTTGGATCGCTCGGTTTTCCTCTCACTCACCTGATAACGTTAAGGTAAATTCAGAGCTCAATATTTTGTCGCCGTTTTGGCGCAGCAGGTTGGCCAGTTCCGTAATTTTCTGGGGATCCATGTTCGATCTGTCGCTCCAACACGCTCCAAGTCCTTATCTGCAAATGTTTTAGGAATAATTAGAGCATTGTGCTTCGGATGCGTAATGCACCAGTTTCTATGTCCACGACTAATGCATGTTCGTATGAATTCCAAAACAACAAAGGCAACTGCGTATGACGCTATAGTCAGCCGTTGAAATGCCCAAAAATTTGTATTTACATTATGGCACTGGCTGATTTAGTCATGCGTCTAATGAGTCTGCATCATAATTCGAATAAATTCCGATTTGAGTTGTCAATTAAGATTTTGGAATATTCCCCTATAAACACAAATACTTTTGTTATGCTTCTTCTTCTTGTCAGTTTTATAGTTCCCATTAGAACTGGTTCCGTTTAATTTGCAAAACTAGGGATGACACTTACCTCGATATACCATAAAATAACGATTATTAGTCGGGTTCAAAACCAAATATATATTTTTTACTTGAAATAGGTTTTAATAGGAATTGCAATGATAATAGATATATTTTATTCCAAACCAAGGAGCAGGAAAAAGATATCATACTTGTAATAAAACATACAATTTTTTGTAGATCATTATTTTTATTTAAATTAAATAAAATTAAATTTTTTTAAAAACAATATATAATTTTCTGATCAGCAGCGACATACGAAAGTGTCATTCAAAATTGTCATTGTTGAATCATCAAAAAAATCGTTTTTTTATATACATTATCTTACCAAAATACCTATATATTTTCCAAATTTGGTTTCCAAATATTCAAAAACAACGTTATTTATTTAACTACTCAGCTTTTATTGCAACACTTGTTATTATTAAAATTCTAATATCTACGCAATCCGGTTAAAATTAGACTATGTTCTTGTCGGAGTTCGATCCATTTTCCATTCGATTCCTGCCTGTAATACTCTTGGCCACAAAATGACAATATCAACATCTTTTAGGTACTCGCGCATTTTTATAAAATTAAAGCAGACTTTGGTGTTTCTTGTTAGTTATCTCTCGTGGATCGTTGGATATGCCTTGGACTAAACAAAAAAGTAAACTAAAAACAACCTATGAAAGATCTTTGTAGCTGGGTAGTTACGGGACCTGCAAGTCCCCCAAATTTTATAAAGTTGGATTTGTGCTGAAAAATACGTTTTCGCTCTTTGGTGCATAAAAATGTTAAAAAAACGTTTGTTCTTGTCTTTGGGATTTTACAAATTTTGCCTGCGAAATAAAATACAAAGTGCATTAGCAAAAATAATACAATAAAATAGTTTGTTTGTTGTAACTTTTGAAACATTTGTTATAAAAACACAACCGTGCCTGAAAACAACTGAAATATTGACAAATAATTAAGCTTGGAATTTTGATACGTACTGGTCCGCCAATCTGTGGTGCCAATTTTGTTGGAATGCCAATTGAAGAACGCTTTTAATTTGTTAATATACAAAATAATGTATATTCATTATTTATTTTCAACAAATCGAATTATCATTTTAATAAATATGACACTTTTATTTGGTTCTTCGTTTTGTCTAACACATAAACACAATTTACACAATTATCGAGAAGATATTATAATGAAAACAGTGGTAAATAAAAAAAAGTATTAAAGAAATGCAAGTGTTGCAGCTGACATGGAAAGCGACTCGATTGAATTGGTGCCTATATAGGGTATCTTTCTATATAGGCCGGTTGTATATGAGTGGTGAAGTAGATGACTTGTCTTGACTTGATCTTGCGAGTAGATTTAGTATTTACAATATACATTTGACTGATCTGGTTTGGGTGTAACACAGTTTAGAGTTTTGGCGACGGCATGATGGACGTATCCCTATGAAAAATAATATAGAAAGAAAATAAGAAAACAAATACATGTCATGGATGAAGAACAGAATGGAGAATATTGAAATGGCTGAATAACATGGGTTTGTGAATGGCCCGATACGATATGATGATTTCGAAAAGATATACTTTTTTTCATTTTTTTTGTATACAAGGAAATTTTGAATTTCGTTTTGCTTTATTATTCAGCTGTTTTTGTTTTTATTTTAAAAATAAAGCTTAGTTTAGTAACGAGAGTTTGGTATTAAAATTATTATATAAAACAAACATTCCAAAATAATAAAATAACAGAAACAGAAGGTGCCATAACTAAAGTTTAGGAAAGGATAAACTTAAAAGTAAAGCAACTTAAGAGTCTATTATTAATTCAAAAAGTATACGGTGAGCATACAGAGCAGGTTCGTTTTCGAGGGATATTCAGGAGTTCAGGAAGTCGGGATTAGAAGGAGGCAGGATAAACGGGCACAAAAGAAGCATTACAAACGCAAAACGAGTGACTTACATATGCTCAGGGTGATTGCGTATGCAATCGATTAAATCATTAGGCTTGAGCTGATTTGTGCAAATTTTGTGGATAGCCGTGAACAGAGGAAATCTGAAAAATGGATGGTATTTTAAATATTTAGTATTAGGTGATTATGTTAAAGCTTACTTGTCCTCCAGACCCTTGTTCTTCAGCATGTAGTTAACCTCCTCGGCAGTGGGTGGGCCCTGCAGCTTCTGGCCATTCAGCATTTCCTTCTCCAGCTCCTCAATAGTTTTTCCGGAGGTGACAAAGGCCTCAGATACCCGACGATTGCGGCCACCTATCGCAGATTAGAAGTATAATTTTTATTGTTTATTCACAGAGCAGCTTAACAAATAAAAACATCTGATATAGTTAGTTGGCTTGGCATTTAGAGAGGCTATAATGTCATTAAACCCCAACGGCGATTGTACACAGAACGATAACCTATCAAATGCAGTATTTGAGTAAAACTAATAGCCCTCTTGTTAGTGCACCTGTACGTGCTTAAAGTTCTCCAGCCATGACTCATTATACTACCTCCAGCCCCTACTCACCGTAACATGTCGTGATCAGATCCGCAACACCGCAGCTCTCGAAGAAGGTGGACAGCTTGCTGCCAGGATAGAAGACATCGACGAAACGGATCATTTCCATGAGACCCAACCGGATCACAGCTGCCTTGGTGTTGTCGCCCAGCTTCAGACCATCGACGAAGCCCGCACCGCAGGCGACGATGTTCTTGAGGGCACCACACACCTCCACGGCGTCGGCATCGTCGACGACGACCACGCGGAAGTGATTAGCCTGGAAGAGGTCGCGGAGCACCTTGCCGTACTTCTTGTCCGTGCAGCCGATGGTTGTCTCGCAGAAATTGCCCTCAGCCACTTCGTTGGCCAGATTGGCGCCCATCAGCACGGCGCATGGGATCTGGAGTGAGTGAATCACGTGGGTGTTACCATTTGCGACCGGGTCACCTTTTCGAGGGCCACTTACCTTGAGGTGTCGCGTGATAATATGCGAAATCAGATCAATGCCGCCACCCTCGGCCTTGTCGAAGCCCTTGATCAGGGATATGGCGATGGCATTGGGCTTGATCTTGCCGAGCAGCTGTTTGCAGAAGTTGGGAATGAACTGGTGGGGCACCACAAAGATCAGGATGTCAGCGTTCTTGGCAGCCTCAACCAGGTCGGGCACAGCCACCTGTAGCGGAGAGGGGGCAATAAAAGAGACTTGAGTAATTGCTTTGTGATAAGAATACAAAAATAATAAGCTAGCAACTCTGATAAGCATACTGAAGGTTGAATGAAGGGAACTGCAGAACGAACGAGGAAATCATTTTTCCGGCTCGTGTTCCGATTTTAATTTTTGGAGGCGCGTCTCTCAAATGTCTAGACTGTATAAAGTGTGGGGCTCGATCGATCGTCCGAGCTTGATACGATTAAGTCTTTCCGCATATCGCCTTGCTGGCACTGCTAACCTGTTTTCTTACATAAACATGTTTATAGGTTGATGTGTGTTCAAAATATTTATAATTGTACCCTTTTTGGGGGTGTTGCGAATACGCCAACACTTGGGAAACATATAAAAAAAAAACTTTGGAGCGTACAAAGTTGCTTTAAAGGTGTAAAGTTCAGTAGTCGTTGGCCTTTATCTTGGAATAACAATCCACTTGGCATTTGCAACAGGTTTTATAAAATGATTATGGAACTCTAAGCGAATATCTGTATCTTCCTATTTTTAGCGAAAACAAAAAAACAAAGTATATCACTGATGATTTATTGTAGCTTAATTTTGTTTAGTTAGCAAGTCAACAAAAGTGTGCTAATCGAAACGCCCCGAGTAATAGAAACTGCGTGCTTTTTATTTTATTTTCTGCCAGCTCATTAACTTATTTTGCATTCTTGTTGCATTTTTGACATTGATCCCGATCTTTGTTTTTTTTTGGCTATACAGACTAATTTGTTGTTTTCCCCGCAGCCACCTTAAGGCCACCAAACGTTTGCCAAAATACACGAATATACCGCATATCTATAGATGCGGGTGAGTGATATGTATAGACCCATTCTATAGCATGGAAAGTCTCGCCGATATTTTGGTGTGTTTTTGTTTTTTCGCTTTTATCAATTCATGCTGTTAACGCATGATTGTAATACATATTTATACGGCATGGGTGTGTGTTGTTCGGAAAGTTTTCCTAAGCAAGCGGGTAACACTTGGAAGTGGCTATTTGCTTTGGGGCTAGCTCGCCCAGGGACAGTGTGATGCTACGGGGATGGATTTTATCGCCCGACGTACGAACGAACAGCAAAACGTTTGGGTTATCTATAATCAGTAAATAGGACGGCTCGAGTGGTTTGTGGAGCACATACATATGTAGGAATACACCCATTTGAAGTGGATCGCCTGCTTATCGGCTGCTCAAATTATTTCCTAATACAATATTGACGCAATTTAACCGCACAAACGGATAATCCAAGCGGGGAATCGGCTTCATGGATAAGGGAGTGGGGGCGATTGGGATACGGAAACTCAAGCCGGCCTTGACCTACGCCAAAGGCACTGGGGCCCAATACTTAAGAGAAACACAAACAGAGAGAAAGAGAGCAGGTTGTAAGAGCGACGTTTGGCAGCCAACCGAAGGTGAAACCGTTTGTTGTTGCCGTCCCTGAAAAATGCAGTGGGCCAAAACAACAGCCCGAGGCAGTGCCAGTGGCACACGGAGAGGCGCGAGAGGACAGGAGAGTATAAATAGACGTGCACTCGCCTGATTAGATAATTTGGCGCTGCACGGTCAAGATCAAGGCAAAGGCCTTTTATGTAAGGCACCAGCCAGGCTGTTGTTAATCCGTCAGAACCGACACATACCCAGCTGTTACATAAGGTGGCAAAAACGTGAATGACTGAAATTACACACCACAACATTGGGCTGCTCATGGGAATTGGGTTGGTTATCTCTCTAGGGAAAACTCTCTAGGGCACGAGGTGCATTCTTTACTGCTGACGCAGGAAGGACCTGCCCCACCACTTACCACATTCGGGGGCAGCTTGTGACCTTTCAGGTACTTGACGTTCTCGTGCGTCTCGTTGATTATCTCCGTCAGCTTCTTGCCGTCGATCAGCTCCTCGTAGACGAACATGGTCACCCGCTCCTCGAACTCGGGCAGCGCCGCTGCGTTGGCGCCCACAATCTTGGCGATGGCCGAACCCCTGGAGATTCATAGACGGAGAGGTGGGAGTGTTAGGTCGCGAAGTAACCCAGCAGTGCCGTATGGCGATTCTTATATAATAATTGCATCGCCAAGTGGCAGATTAAATGCACTCACCAGTTGCCGGAGCCAACAATGCACACATTTACTTTTTCCGCCATTCCGTCCGCTTTAATGTGGTTTCTGTTGATATTGTTGTTGCTGTCGTAGTTACTGCTGCAGTTGCTGCTTCTTCTTGGGCGCTCGAGGTGCTACTTCGCGACCGGACGATTAAAATGTGAAACTACTGACACGTTGGAGCCACGGCGACTAAATGATTCTTTCCATTCCCCACATGTTAATATAAGCGAAACATTGAACAACAAGAAAAAGTTGGGGCTTCGTGTGGCTGAGAAGAGAGGGCACCCTTCGTGCGTCTTCGTGAATGCGAGAGAGCCGTTTGTTTGGGGCGAAAGGGCAGATTCCTTCACATCGCTGTCCTGTATTGGTTTTTGATTCGTTCTTGTGGATTCCTTGCCATCCCAAAGTCTTGGATAATCTATTAATTTATAATTAAAGAGCTCCAATCAACGAAGATTAATTATTGGCAACGGGAATCCTCCCTGGTTTCAAGTTAGTGTTGGAAAATGCAACAACTGTCAAAAGGAGACAAGTGATGGTTAACTTTCATGGGGTAACACTGGTAAACATACCATCTCTAATAGTTGGCGCCAATTTAAAATTATTTATTGGTTCCTCCCGACACTGGGTTGGTTTAGCTCGATTATTGGTAATTGTCGCCCTTAACTACAACTAACTATAACTTTACCTTGTGGTAAAGCATTGCTAGTAATTTGACAGCTACGTTAGCCCTATTTTCGTGACATCCAGGAAGGCTAAAGTTCAAAAGGAAGAAGTCGGTAGAAGCCCCACTTAAGACGGGGAGTAGAAGCCCCACTTCAACAACACCTTCATCCATGTTACGGATGTCTGGACGCGAGACCATCGCCCGTTTCACTTGTGCCTGTTGGAAGCTTACAAGGCCAAAATCCCTAGCCCCTGTGCCCAGTCCGCTTTGCGTGGTCTGGCCGTTTCATCCATGAAGATCGGACGCATCGAGGATGTGGCTCTATCCCATCTAACCGCAGGAAGGTCGGTCGCCGTTGTCGTTGTCTGAAAATGGTATCCAAAGCTTTCGATCTGCTAGACTCTGTAAACACTTTAAAATATTACATATGCGTATGTGATCATAAACATGTTAAGGTTTTATACATGAATGCATTGTAATAAACCAGGAAAACATTTTTTTTTTAATTAATATAGCTGTGGGGCTATATATCGATATTAACGGAAACTTTTAAACAATACAATGTTTTTTAAAACCTAATGACGATGCGTTTGATTAAAGATTTTTTATTTCGTAATTTCAACTTTTATTAATGAATTATAGTGCCTTATACTACCTATAATACATCATAATATCATAGAAGAGTTCATCTTAAGTAAGTTTAAGAAAGATAAAAATACACGACACAAGATTACTATGGACGTCCATTTTATTATAGCTTGAAACAACTAAACCTATACCAGATCACAATATTTCATGGAAGCAGGCAATGCCACATGTCCATGACCACCCACACACTCGGGCCAAGGCGCAGCAGCCGGAAACACACCAGACCAGAGATACCAAGTCAGGCCACGAGCATAACGTGCAACTTTCCAGCTTTCGCCGCAATCAATTTTACGGGTGCACAGCAGCAACAGAAAAAGCAACAACAGCCACCAGGAGATTGCCTCGGATGGTGCAATGGAATTAAAGCCACCCCGAGCACAGCCACGCCAAACCGCTCAACCAACCACTCCAACCACCCAACCACTCAGCCTTTATGGTGCACACCCACGCCCACCTACCAGTAGTACATACAACGGTGGCAAACAGAGTTAGACACGCAACGAACGTGAGGAAAGCACGTGGTCCAGCTCACATGAAGGTATTAGCGCGTAACATCGCTGCATGATTAACCTCCTCCATGGGTCAATGCTAGGCGGAGGATTGCATGTGTACGGGGACGGCGATGAGGCCATGGTTTTTGGACTCTAGTACTTGCAACATTTCTGCAGCATTCAGTTAGGGCAACCAATCTCCCGATGTTCTCTGTTCAGAATTGAGGCGAGTTGCATAGATATTTTCAAATTATATTTTAAATTATTGATAATATAATATAATAATAATAATTTTTAGATTTTTTAAAAATCTTTAGTTGTGGCTTTCAACATGCAATTATTGCTTTCCAATCCTGTTTTTAAGATGGTTGACATTTTCTGTTGCCTACTTAAGTGGTTATCGTCGTTTTTTCAAGATATGTCTTCGAGAACAATTTATTAGTGAATATGTAATAGATTTTATCTGTTAGAAAACGTAAAACTAATAAATGATTGCAGAAAAAATATAAAACCATAACCGCTTGACATTTGATTGCTTTTCCATAACTGCGTTCGACAGTCTCCATGGCCCTTTTGCGCGAAATTATTATTTGTGTGTCCCGTCACAGCAATTTGTCTTTTTGGAATCATTTTGCATTCACATGCCCGACTGGACGTATTCGAAATTGCTCTGCACAAGCTCGACATTCCCATGCAGTTACAAATTCTATTCCGTCCTATGGCAACCCACGCAACACATTGCATTGACAAGTGCCACAATTCACATCATCAAGATTGCGTGGAGATTGAGTCACGCCCAAATGTAGAACCCATATCACATATCATACATCGGTTATCCCATATCCACACATCCCCCACCCAATCCCTATATTCAATATGCAGCCCACCTTTTTATCCTTGGCTAATTCGCATGTCATGCTGACGATAAACTGCTCATTGTTGATGGCCATGTCGGCGATGTTGTGGTTGTGAGTGGTATGGGGAATTAACCCTTTTTCTGTCCTACTCCATACCGGGCTATTTGAAGACCAATCTGCCTATAAAAAAACAATGATGGACACTCCGGACTTGGGCATAGAATAATAGTACATAAAAAATAAAAAATGTAGCAGCATCAAAAATAAAATCATGTACGCAGTAACGAGACCCAAAAAACGAAGAAATATAAAGAAGAAAAAACAGTCAAGGAGTTGAAGGATTAACAGACTACTGGATGATCTTTATTTATTTTCGAATAAATATGGGTACTACATAGTATAAGTGTAGCGATTCTAGAAGATGTTGTGGCTTACACTTAATATCCGTATCCTATCTTCAAATAATCTCAGGATTACATAATCTATTTCTGCCTATTTATGCAAATTTAATCAATTAACACCAATGATGTTTTGGGGTTTATGTTAATTTCTTTAAAGGTTTATATATAGTTTCCAAGTTTAACACAGATTTATAGAAAGGGTGCCATCAAGGATCCATAGCAAAATCCTATCTCATTTTTGTAAATATAAACCCTAATAGATATAAGTTTTTTTCTCACAATCTATGTAAACTATCTAAATGTTTTATCTTAAAGACATTTAAATATTAAGTAAAAAACCTGTTTAAATAATAGATATTTTGATTAAAAGTTAAAATAAACCCTGTGTTAGATACCAATTCTTTGATACTCAATCTCTCAATGAACAAAAATAATATTCTGGGAAATATGTCCTTAATAAAAAGGGTATGGCAAGACTAAAAGAAGACAACTCTAAGCGGATGTAGCGCGCTTATCCTTTTTCAGACCCACACACCCACACATACAGTCACAGTTATACACACAAGGACAGCTGGACAGTGGTTTTTATTTTTCATTATTATTTTTACTTTATTTAAACCACACAAAATACTTAAGACGATTTTGTGTTTTGTGGCCCAAGATGTATTGCCCATGGCCAGCAATGGCTGGAAAAGTGTGAAAAGAAGTGATAAAACTTTTCCCCCTGCTTCTGCCACAGGGGGTGGGGATGCAATGGGTGGGTGGGGGTCAGAGGGACAGAAACAGAAAGATGAAATAAAAGGGTAATGTATACATGTCCAAGCGGTCTGTGCGGCTGTCCCTCTGATGGTCGCCGCCCAAGGCGTTTGCATATGCAAAATAAGACTTCACTCCTTACCTTTTGCCAAAGACATTTGTCTCAGACAATTGAATCGGTCCTTTGATGACAGGACGAGATTTTCAGGCGCTGAGCATCAATAATAGACGTATTCCGCACATGTTCTCTGTCAAGGCGATTCCCATTCGGCATCCGATATAGTCGTTGTACTCGTACAATTTATGACATCTCACTCCCCAGCTTCACCGCTTCGAGAGGTCCTTGCCAGGACAATGCTTAAGCGTTTTCGGACTATGCGAAAGCATACAAATTGAGGATTTTTATTTTCATTTCTGTTTTTATGATTTACATTTTTATTTGCCGTTTTCTTTGCCATGTAAAGTGTTTTGGCACTTTCGTCCTGTAATTCTTTTTCATCTGCTTTTTTTTCGACGCCTCATTTTTCCCAAGCGTATTTGTTTTTGGCAAAAAGTGTCGAGGTCTTAATTGTTTTAATTGCTTCAAACATAGTATTTACTCGTATATTTTTTGTGGGGCTTCTTCCATTAACTTCATTTACTTTGGCTTGTTAAGGTTGGCGGGTTTATTAAGTTCAACAAATAAAAGAAAAAATATTCAAGATCCATTATGACAATTAAAATTCTTACTATGCTTCATGAATAAATTCATTATTTGTTGACGCACATAAATTATTTTTATTAATTCACACAAATATATTAAAATTATATATTTTACAGTAGGAGACCAGCGGAGAAAGTATCTTACTTCCTCCGAAGTCTTTTATCTGATATATTTGATTATCTTCAACCGTTTAATCCTTTATGTTCTAAGCTTTCATATCTTAAATTTATTTATAATTTTCAGTTCTCAATCGCGAAAGGACTAACCACCATTGAAGAGACATCCAGGTTTAAAAAAAAAAAATCGAAAGCTCTTAAAAAAAATTATTTAAAATTACTTTCAGCTTAGTGTTTTAAAAAATACAGGTATCCCATTTTATAAAGAGATTCCAATTATGATAAAATATTAATTCATGAAGCTTAATCTCCTAAAATGGGAGACTAACAAGATAAAATTCGGGGACAGTTTTCGGGATAAGCCATCATCGTAAAATAATCAAGTAGCTTTTACTGGTTGGCACTTTTATAAGTCCTTTTTCGACTTTTCCTTCGAACTTCAAACTAATAATATTAATATATGTTTCCAAAGTTGAGAAAAATCTTGCAAAAACCCATATTAAACCTATTTGTTTTTGAAGTAAATACCATTTTTATACATTTCGTTTTTTCTAGGTGCATAAACCTATAAAAATATTTTCATGTAATAGTATTTAAGTACACATGCATTTAAAATATATCTGTTCCAACCAAAACACCCAGAAAAAAAACTAAAGACACAAAGGTAACAGTGGAGAAAAATATGAAACAAAAATGTAGTCGTTTGTCCTGCGGCAAAGTTGTCTTTTCATTTTCACGATTTCTAAAAAGGATATTCGGAATGTATCGCTAAATCGACAAAATAAACCACGAGGGCACAGGTGGGGAAATTGGAAAAAAGAAACATTTGTAAAGAAATACCAGACTTAAGGATTGAAATGGTACTTTTTTCATTTAAGGTCATAATCATTCCATACGTGTTTTATTTAAAAATATTATTATATTCATATTTAAATATAAATGTATACTTACTTTATTACATTTAAAAAAAAATAAAAACACACTATTAATTTAGTTTTTTTTTTTCAGAACGAGTTTTTTATTTTGAAGCAAATAGCATATTCTTAAATTATAATTTATTAATGTCATTTAGACTAGATTATGACTATGGATAATGGTAAAGCTTTACGGAACTATCCTGAATGGATTTCAAAGCCAAAACGCGAAAAAGGTGAAAATGTCTGCGAAAAAGCTATTGGTTTGGATTCGCAGGAAGGGGATGGTGTGCCAGTCAGGCGTTTTTAGAGATGGAATGGGGCAAGGTGGAGCTAAAATGGATGATGGATGCCCTGCCAGGTCCTTGCCAGGCTGAAATAACATGATCAATTTTTAGAAAAACGACGACAAAACGTCGAATGAAAGATAAATAAAGCGGACCACACAGGCAAGCGAAAAAAAAATTGGTAAAAGATGAAATAAAATAAGGATATAGAGTGTTAGAAAATGGTACGAAAGTAAAAGCAAGCGAGGCCGCGAACCGTAGTCCTGTGTGTGGCCAGAGGAGGCGTGTGGGCGGCGGCTGCCGTGGCTCCAATGCAGGGGCGTGGCCTTACATATATATCCTTTACATGGCCCCTGCGAATTGTCGCAGCTGCGTCTATTGCCGCAGCGAATTAGTTCATTTCCACAACTTTTTCAGCGCCCTCCCCGTCGAATCAAAACTGTTTTTACGTTTTTTTAGGTCGCGCTCGGAATATGAATATTTTTGCAAGTGACAGAACTGTTGGCCGCCTAAGTGCTACTAAATCGATTTTGATTACATTGCAAAGCCGGGCCTGCCGAGACCGGTTCACTTCTCCACCTGGGCCGGAGGCTCCATGGTGTACATGTCGCGCAGCAGGCGGGCGATCGGCACGTTTCCAATGGTCTCCTTGAAGAACAGCGCCTCAATGGTGGCCGCCCGGATGGTGCGCAGCGAGGGCAGTAGGAGCAGGAGCCGCCCGAAGCGGGTGGCCTGGCGGGGGTAGCGCAGGCGCACATGGTCGGATAGGATGCATTGCGCCTGGTCCTGCAGCATCTCAACGGGTTGGACGTCGCACAATCCGGCTGTTTCCGGAGCAAACAGGGCGATGGCCTTCATGCAGCCCACCTCGCTGCCGTCGGGCGTGATCTGGCGGAAGCGGCACAGGATCTCCTGGATGGTCTTCATCTCCGTCTGCGTGGCCTCGTCCTGCAGCACCCTCTCCCGGATGAGAGGCGACTCCAGAATAGGAGTGAGGTCCAAAGGAATTGTCCACTGCGCCAGGTTGAGCAGGAATAGCTCCTTCCAGGACTCCTATACCCAAAAAAAAAGGATTTTCATTAGAAATTAAAATGGTAACATTTAAGGATCTAAAAGCTATATTCTATAGTACGATTTCCTTACCTGAAGCAGCAAGTGCTGGTCGTTCTTGGAGAGCGTCTGAAAGGGCATGAGGCACTTCACCCAGCGCACCGCCATAAATAGCAGACGCGCCGTCGTTTCCTGCAGCATCTCCCAGGAGAGCAGCCTCGAATCGAGCAGCTGCTGCGGGAAGAGGAGTGTGTTGTGCTGCACCTGGTACTGGATCAGCTCCTGGCACTTGTCCGGGCTGAGCAGCAGCTCCAGGAAGCCATTGGACGCTGATGCCACTGCTGCCGATGATTGACAGGCTATCTCCCCGCTTCGGATTGGCGGAGGAGTGGGCGTTGTAGGTGTGGGTGACCCGGATGTAAAGCTGGCCTGCTTATTCTCCCCATTATTGTTGTTATTGTGGTTGATGATGCTGTTATTATTGTTGTGGATCCGTAGTAAACCATGGCTAGGAGGTGTTATGGCGTCACTGAGGCTATGCTGCGATGTCTGACGAGGCAGGGGGGATCCGGAAGAAGCTGCCAGGCTGTGGGAGTCTGTAAGCGTAGGCGCTGGAGAAATGCTACCGGCACTAAGCGGTGGAGAGGCAGAGGGCGAGGGGGTCTCCGTCTCCACATTCACGCGCGGACTTTCGCTGCCCAGGCTCAGGCCCCCGTCTCCGCCTCCGCTCCGCGATCCTATGCTAGAGATGGACTGCACGGAGTTGCTGGGCGAGGGGGAGGAGTAGTTATTGCTGCCGGTGGGCACCATCTGACCCGCCGAGGCATAGGGTGTGCTGGTGGAAGACACCACGGCGGCTACGGCCGTCGCTGTAATGGCAGGCAACTTGCTGGCCGCCTCGGCAATCAAGTTGTGATGCAGTAGATGCTGGGGGAAGGATAGCGACGGGCCGCCGGCTCCGGATCCACTGCTCGATATGGAGCTGCCATTGCCGCCGCTGTTCAGGCCACTATGAGGAGCCGTCAACGCATGCCCCGGATGACCCGGATGATGGAAGGCCGTCGCATGCTGCTGTTGTTGACCGCCGGATCCCGCGTGATGGTGGTGTCCCAGAGGAGCTCCCGCCTGCTGCTGCCCACCGGTCGCCAGGTGGAATGCTCCCGCTGCCGTCGGCGGGGGAGGCGGATGCGTGGAGATGTGCTGCGTGTAGTTGAAAGAGGCCGAGACATTCGTCACGAGGGAGACGGGAAGGTGGCCGCCATGGTGATGGTGTAGTCCGGCAGCAGCCGCGGCAGCAGCGGCAGCATGGTGGGCGGCTGCGGCATGGGCATGGGCGTGGTGGTGATGATGGTGGTGGTGGTGGGCGGCTGCTGCATGGTGGGCAGCCGCAGCAGCGGCCGCGGCATGATGATGGTGATGCAGCTGCGGATGCAGCTTTGGTTTCCTCGGACCTCGCTCGTGCTGGACAGCTGAAGAAAGGGATACAATAGTAGAAGTTTATTTTAAGCTTAAAATGTATTCTTTTATTGATTTAAAAGATATATCAGTTAAAGAATAAAATATTTGTAAAACCTACACCTTTCCATCTAAAACAACAGATATTATGGAACAAAAGATATATCTTTTTATCTTTAAAAATATCTGATTGTCTTTTTTCTTTAAAAAGACACTAAGGTATTATTTTTTTTATTTACATATCACACCCTAAAGGATCTCAATCTGATTTACATAAAATCAGTTCAAGTGTGTAATTGCGATAATCTGCCTCTAAGTAGATAAATAAACAAAGTTAATTTCAAAGATACTCTTTTTTCGGCTTTCTTCTGTTCTGTTCGGTTCGGTTTCTTTTTGGAAACTTTTCATAAAGGCTTTGAAGTGTGTATTTGGCACAAAAGGTTAGGCTTTCCCCGAGTTGGCTTGGGCAAATAGTCAGAAAAGAGAGAGTTGCCGAGGAGGACATATTAAACCGATTATTAAAATGCTAGAGATGCAAAGATACAAGTCTGAAAAGATACTGTGTAGTAAATAGGTCTTACTGTTCCGGTCGTGTGAACTGTTGCATATGCCTCGAGCAGAACCGGAAGAGGAATTGTTGGAGGGGGTGTGTGTAGAATGTGTGTGCTGCCATGACTTTTATTTGTTTGTAATTAAATGTATCTGAAGCTGTAGCTGGAGCTGGAGCTGCGTATCTTGTAGATTGCATGACACGGCGCAAAAGGGGGTGACATTTTAATCCCCAGCTAATCGCATATGTGAAAGCGTCTCCCTGTAAAATGACTGCAGCCACTTGAGGGCTTTTACCTCAAGCTGCCACTTTCGGCCCTGGCTTGCAACTAGCAAAAACTTGGCAGCCCGGCAGGCAGCTCGGTAGCTCGCCAGAAAAAGTCTCAAAGCTTTCAAAAGATCACAAATTTCAATTAAAGAAAATGACAAACTCATCAAATTTTTATGCTGCGGGTTTAACAAACTTCGGGTCCCAATTTCCAGGGGCGCTTAAAAATTGTGGTTCAAGCAAAAGACTGAAAAAAAAGGAAATTGTGAAAAAGTTGAAAATACCCCCCGGGAAACTTGCACTTCCAGCTAACCCTTTTGCTTATGACTCCGTATTCCTCCTTTTCCTTTTCTTGGGCAAACACGAAAACGTGTGAAAATTAGCTGCCATGTCAAATTAGATGCTAAGAGAAATTTAAAATATTTTAGAGATTTTTTTCTGGCACTTTACTTTCTAGCCAATATGAAGAAAGTTTTTAAGATTAATTTTTCTTAAGTTTCAAGACCACAAAGTTTATTTTGAATTTTTCTAATAGGGCTTTATATTAATTTTTAATGTGTGCCCTTGACTTTCATGTGAAGTCCATGGAAGTTTGAAGTCCAAAAAAAATCCATGTGTAAACTTTAAGAGGTTATAAAAAGTTAGGATTTTCAAAAAATCTATTTTTGTTTTCCATTTTTTATATACACACATTTCAAGGGGATCCGAAGAATATTTTCGAAGTTATAGACACATTAGTGAAGGCGCGCCGAGGAATCTCACTAGATTATTTATATATTTAAGAAATATATTTAGTTTTTGCATTTTATGTGATTTACTCCATATATCGTGCTTACCGCAAGAGATTTTTTTTGCGGACCTCTGCATTATCAACGTTCCCGATAATTATTTTTGGCATTAAAAAATATGTGAATGTAGTTTTAGGTTGTCATAATGTACCTGCCAAGTTTCAAATCAAAAAACCAAATAGTTTAATTCGAAAAAAACTTAAAAAAAAAAACTTCCAAAAAAGTATTGAAAAAGGCCTTTTTTGACATCTTTACTGTATACAACCCCTTAAGTAAGACACTTAGTTAATATACTAACAAAAACAAAGATCCAAAACCAAATATAGCTATCTTAACTTATACACAAAGCTTACAATGCTGTCTAAAACTTAATTAATTTCCGTATAGATAAAAATTGAACAGCATAAAGAGGCAATGTCGTCCACAATTGAAACCATTTTATGCCGATTTTGCTTCACAATGAGTGACTGTTCAAATCTTTTATCCACTGACAAGAAGTGTGGTCATTATGGACTATTAAGTACTTCGGTACAAGCCTATTCCATCCGAAACCCAGTATGTTTCCGGGGCGTAGCACCCTTCTATGGGATCATCATCCCCAGAGCACATCGAATCACTTCAAGTGTTTTTCTAATTTCACGGTTTATATTTCTTTTTATTTTATTTCCCGTGTCAGGTTCAGTTCCCGTGGCCTGTACGTTATCCCCTCGAACAATTTGCGAACGTTGCCTTATTTACTTTTAATTTGCCTGCCAAACAATCGCATTTTGATACATCTCTTTTTTTCGTAAATATTTATTACGACATTATCTGTTGTGGCGGTCCAAGTGGCCCCGCATATATTTCAAGGGTGCTGCTTATTACCGTTTACCGATTTATTTATTTCGATTTCTGGGCCACGCATTGCGCTTTTCAGCTTATGGACGTCCTGCTTCCTTCGTCCTGCCCCCGGAAATGATGCTGATGATGATCACCATCGTCATTATTTGGGATTTTTGCGTGCTGAACTGTTGTGAAGTCGGCGTGGTCGTCGCGTCCTCGTTGTGGGAACGTACCAGCTGCAAGGCAGCTCGCTCTTCCACTGCCACTTATCATTAATTTTTCCGCTGCTTTTTCCTTTTGCCCATTTGCCCATTCTGGCATCCTGACATTCCTGCCTTTGTCCGGGTGTGCCTTCGGGCCACTTCCCCTTGGCGGCCTGGACCTCTGTTCGCTCTTCATCTCCAAATGAATGCATGTATTTTGACACATTTTTTGTTCCTTCACGGTACTCCTGGTCCGCTACCCTCCACTACGTTATAATTAATTGATTAGCTTCAGCAAATCGGTCAATATGTTTGTTCTGCTACACTTTTGTGTTTTTCCCACTTTCCTGCGGCAAACTAAGGCGCTAAGTTGAGGGGTGTGGTCCTCATAATGAGTTGCTAATTAAATTTGTAGGTTGTAATTTTTTCTGGCTTGCTCTTGGAGCTCTGAAACTTTTTGCCACACATGAGACTTACCAGGGGTCAATACATGAACAAAAAAAAAAGGATATGGGGAGTTCATGGGTAAATCCTTTAAATTAGATTTGCAAAGGAGCTTAAAAGTCAAGGGCTTAGATGCGCTTCCATATACCATTCTTTCTAAGAAATTTCGATTCTACCATATTCATATGAGACTTTTAACCATGTCTATATACATTATTTGTTTTCAAAATTAAAAAATCATAGTCTTATGTTTCAAAGATATTTTTCAAGTTTGTAGTTATAAACCTCTCCTGAATTATTGAGCCTCTAGCCATGTCTATATCTGGGTGAATAGTCATCAGTTTGTAAGCGGAATACCCTGGACCAATCCCTTTACATAGACTTTGCATCAACAAGCATAGATTTGTAATTTTTTTTTGGATAAGACCTTTTTTTTGTGAGACCATAGCCCAATCAGCGATGGTCCTAATTGTACCATAGTTTTTCACTATACTACTTTGGTCTACTCCATATTGCCCCACCAATCCAATCAACTCAGCTCAAGATTTGTCGTAACTTTAACTTTCTCGCTTTCGGAAAATAGAAAAGTTTACAAAACCCCGAATAAACAAGACTCTTAACGAAGGCAACCCGTTCCCCAAACCTGGGCAAGGATTATATATGGAAAATTTGAATGCAAACAGCAACTACAAGCCGTTGTGGAAAGACAAGAACGTTTTCAAGATTCAGTCAACGGTAAACTTATGGAAAAGGACTAGAAAATTGAAATTGAATGTACCACGCTGCATACTTCTGGGCGTTTAAGCTCTTTTGTCAACAGTCTGTGGTTTCCCAACCTGCCCTCCCATTTTCGGCTCAGTGTAGTGGCTACACAAGCAGCACCTTGTCTGTTTCCTATCGGTTTCAATGGTAATTTTGTTGTTGTTGTTTATGTCTATTTCGGAGACGACTTTTTGGCGCAGACTCGGCTAATTTCATGACCACATTTTAACGTATTGATTTTCCTGAGGTTAATGAATATGCATACATACACATAACATACATACATATATTTATTCGAAGGACTGTATATATTTCAGATATTTATGCTGCAGCCTTTGAGCTTCGCCATATTCTCTGGCATTTATATTACGTATACGCATTTTCATTTACACATGACTGCAGGGCACAAAAAGCCATGGCGCAGGGACACGCCCACACGAACACGTTCGCAGGCGCCACACACATACTGATGTATCAACACCCACACCAACACCGACACAGGCGCATCATGTTTTACTTAATTGACATTATAGCCTACTACGATATGTGCATACACTTTCTCCGGGACAGTGCGACATGTAAATGCGCCTGGCTTGCACATGTCATCGACATCGACACTGCATCCCCTGTGCCTCGTGCACCCCTTTCACCCCTTGACCTCTTTGCCACACACCCACACACAGACAGGCGTATGTGTGAGTGACAAACGTGTCAGTGTCAACATTAAAAGCGGATTTAAAATCACTAGGAACAGCCGCCGGACGAGCTCGTTGGCCCAGAATGGGAGTCAGACGGGTGGAAGCCTTTGGCCTCATAGGGCCAGGGCCATATTTCGCAGGTATTGCCAGCCGTCGGCTAAAGGACTTCAAAGAACATTATACATTTTAAGTCCAGAGAACAAAAATTAAGGGATGTAAATATAAAAAAAAAAGGAAACAATAACTTAATGATTATTTACGGGGTAATATCGATAGTAAAAAGAAATTTTTTTATTTCAATATGTAATACAAGTATTAAGTTTTGGACCATTCATCTTTAATATTTCTAAATAATTTTTTAAAAAAATAAAGAACATACCATAAGAACACTTTAAGGTTAAATCTTTGTAAGCCATCATCATTAAAACGTCATACATTTTTTAAAACTCCCTCCGGATGATCGCTTCTCAAAAGTATCTCAAAAAAATAAAATTCGCAAAAAAATGAGATACTTTATTCTACTCTAGTATACACCGTTTATCTATCCTATATCCTAGTATCCTAGTATTAAGTCTATAAACGTTTCACTTAAACAATTTAGTTTAAAATATCTATATTAATATCAGATGTAATCTTTCAATTTGTCTTCCCAGCCTTTTAATATCTACATTATGTATACTTTCCGTGGCCATTATAAGCATCATTAGACTTCACTTTTCGGGTCATCACGCACGCAGTTGAGGGGAGTAAGTGTATCACCATTATCAAGCCCCCTTTTTTATGTATTTCCCCCACCATACCCCAGCAGCTGAACAACGTTTTTTGTAAGAATGGGATTTGAGAAGCGACACAAATCACTCAAAATGAAAAATCCGCTTAAAATGCCGCGTAAATATTTGCAAAGCGAAAGAAAGTAAAGAATCGCCTGGTGGCTTAGGGTAGGTAGTCGGGGTAGTATGCGTGCTGATGATGCCCTGACACTTTGGAGTATACAAATGCAAATACCATTAAATGTGACAAGTGGCAACATAATTTTTTAGAAGAGCTTTTGGTGTCTTTTTTTTTTGTTATTTTTCTCCATTACACCCCAGAATATTAGCATACAAAGTAGCCAACATTCGTAAGACGGGCACTTTGGTGGTAAGGGCAGTTTCAAACAGCGCGGACCCGAAATGTGTTGTGTTTCTCATATTTTCCCATAATAACTTATTTGGCAGGCCAAAAGTGGGGGCGAAATCATTGGTCAGCTCTTGCTGTCATATTGCCATATTGCCAGGGAGGATTGTCTTCAAATGGGAAATCCCAAGAAGAAACTTCAAGACTTTAGGAAAACGAAAAGGATTCTAACGTTCTAAAATTCACTTTCAAATTAACATTATTAGGTTTTTGGTGTGGCCAAAAAATCACCAAAGCATCTGGAAAAACCTAACCGGAAAAGGCCAACTTAAAATGGGCAACCATGACCAGAAACCATTTTGTCCTTTCACCCCCCAGGACGTTCTCGAATCTAGGAAAAGATACCCAAAGACTTAACTGCTCGCGTGACCCCTTCCTAACAAACTACAAAAAAAAAAAGAGAAAAAAAAATGTTTCACAAACGTGCCTTGAACGATTTTTGTGGCTTTTTTGCTTTCTGCTCTAAACAACAAAAGCATTTTGTCTGGGGAGACTACATACTATACAATGTACTATGGAGGAAAAGCGGAACGGACCATAGGAAATGGGACTCCCTTGGAATGGGTGCAACTTGTTTGTGGAAGATGTGTGAATTGTTTGGTGTCTGTGTGTGTTTGTTGTTTATCTACAGGAACCAGCCAACAAAAACCCCCAAAAACGCAGCCTAACATGGGGATTTGTAGCGGGAAACTAAGAAAATTTTTGGGCGAAAGAATGTGAGAAACATGGACATTTTGTAGCTTGCTCAGATCCTTGCTATGGTTGTGCTTTTTGAAAGTTTTTGGAATACTTTTTTTGTAGGGGTTCCGGAAGAATAACTTTTATGGTTAAGCATACGAAAACAATTTTGGAGATTTGTGTCTTTGGTTAGTCAAAAATATAATCTGATTTGGTTTTAAGTTTTATATCATTTTTATCGTTAAAGATTCAGTCTTAAAATTGAAATTCTGTTAAATAGTATCACCCCTATTTAAAAAAAAAAAATTATATAAAAGAAATGCATTAAGCACATAATAGTCAAAAACCCTTTAGCTTCTAGAGAACCACCAGCCATCCTTGAAAGGACTAACTTCTGATCTGCCACATTTGGGTTGAAGGTTGGCCCTTCAGCTGACGTCTGACGTACAAGCTCGGGCTTTTGGGCATCATCAGTTGATTGTCAATACATTTTAGCCGCATTTTCAGCGAGCAGATAATGCGTGTAATCCGCTATTAAATGCACATTGTCAATCGCTTCCACCCCATAGCTCCTAACCGCTCAACCTCCATCCTCCCCAGCATTGGCCAGGACAGTCGGCCTTGCGTGCGAGAAAGTCTGCAATGATTCTCACGCCGCTCTTGTCCCTGGCTTTATCCCGGATCGTCTGTGCAGTGAACCCATCAGGGGCAGCTTCTGACAACCGAATGCAGAATATAACATTGAATCGAATAGATGGGCTTGGCTCCGGAATATAGTCGACAACCCAAGCTCATCGCAATAATGTGTTTTTATGCTACATTTAATTTTGGCTTAAGAGCTTTAAAGCTAGTATTGTTGTATTGAGTGGCGAATTCGGTGTGGCTGCCGGCTCATGGCTCATGGCTGTCAATTGTTAGTCCAGCTTAGATGAATTATATTCAATTAAATAAAAATGAAGTTTCTTTCTCTTGGTTTTAAATATATTCTAAGTTTTAGATTTTCGTTTTAATCATAAGGCAAGACAAAATATTTTTAGCTTTTTATTGAGTTTATAAACGCAATAATCTTAATTTTCAACTAAATCCCCATAAATACTATTTAAAAATTTGTTTTTATAAATTTTAAGGGAAAACACCAATTGCCTTATTCCCAGGCAATCCATTTGCAAAAATCAGTTTTCCCCCGTGGCTACTTTCGCCTCCGAGGCACGACCACAGGATCTAGGCAGAGGACTCGCATAATTTATAATCAGCTTAATGACAACACAACAAAAGTTCAAATGGCATTTTCCAGGGTCTAGTCGCAGGGAGACAGTGAGTAGCGGGAGCCCGCGGGTTTTTGGTTTTCCAGTTTAATGTAATTTATGCCCAAAAACCTTGACGTGGGCGAGACGGGGCTTCACGAGCTAATTTGCTGCATAATTAAATGTATTTGGCAAGTAAAACAAAGACTTGTGGGCCAGGTCGGACAAGAAGGACTTTGAAAAAAAGAGGCTTAGGTCAGGAAAGGCTACTTACCATCCTTGTTCATGGCCGATTGGAAGCACTTGGCGAGGCGACACGCACGACACTGGTTGCGATGAGTCTTGTCCACAGGACACCGCCCCTTCAGATCACCGGTGGCTTTGCAGGTGTAAATGCGATTTCGATGGATGCTGCGCTTAAAAAACCCCGAGCAGCCTGAAAGGTATTAGTCCAGCTTACATTGCTAATTCATATAATCCTGTAGGGCTCACCATCACAACTGTAGATCCCATAGTGCTTTCCGGAGCTTCGATCGCCGCAAACTTTGCAGGGAATATCCAGTAGGCGATCGCCCGCTTTAAATAATAGAAAATCATAAATGTGTACAAGAGTGAAAGAACTTAATATATATGTATTATATAAATACATGATCTAAAATCTTAAAATTAAATCTAAAACCTTAAAACCATTCTAATACTAATCCAAAGCCAGATCAATTTGAACTTTTTTTGGATTAACTTCCCAAGTCTCGCAGACATTTTACTTTTTAAAATATTTACACAAATTAAAAGACTCTATTAGAGAGAAAAGTTATTGGAATAACTCTAAATATTAGCTTTTAAATATTTTTACAAAGTTCCCTGGTTTTAAAATGTAAACGCCCTTATTCCAAATGCGATTTTGAAGCCCTATTAAATAGGCAATACTATTTTTTTCTTTCCTAAGCCATAATTTAATGTTTTTATATGAATGTGTTACGTGTGTGTAGGATATTATTTCTTTTTTTCTTTACTCATAGAAAGTCAAATATTGAATTATTTTTGACTTAGAAATAATTCGATTACCATATATTATTTTATACAAATTGGAGGATATACATTTGAAAAATACTTAATTAAAGACTTGAATTGCTTTATGTTTGGCCTATCTTCCATGGATTAAGGACCTGTGGACTTGAGCAAATACTGAGCGTCACGTGCGAAAGATTTGGACAATTTTGTGGCGTTACTTCGAGTGTGTTTGCCGCAGATTAGCAAGTGAAAACGGCACTCACCCCGCCTCCAGGATTCATTTAATACGTGTATGTGCGGCAAGGAGGCGGGTATGGCGGGAAGCCAGCCCTTTGACAGGCACACTTCGCAAATTAAGTTCAACACTCGGCACTTGTCAAAATAAAACGGTGTCCCTTTGTTGTGGTCCTTTGTTCTGTGACATTTGACATATTGTCGCTGGTTGGGTTCAGGCCCCGGGTCGGGGTTTTGGCCGGCGCGTGTTGCCAATTTTCACACCCTGCAACATCGGCAATTGTCCGCTGCGTGTTAACACCTTTCGAGTGGCTGTGCGTGCCCGCTTTGGGGTTGCATCAGGGGACAGGATAGGATAGTCCCTCAGAAACCTTCGGGAACGGACCTTTTTCAGCCTTTCATTTTTAAAATTTTGCGATTTTGTTGATTTTACATATTTATGTTTATTTACGCCATCACTTTTTACTTTGTGCCCCATTTGTTGTTAGTTTTTGGTGTGCGGGTTATGATTTCATCATATCAACGCTTTACAATATGCTTTTTGAGAGGGTATGGAAATTTTCGTCATGTTTTGATAGGCAAAAGGAGTTTTAAGCTGGTCATTTAAGGGGCATGGGAACAAAACGTGAGATTTTTACGATTTCGTTGTGGGATCTTTCAGATTGAGTTAATTCTAAAATCAGAATTTCTATTTATGTTGGAAAGGGTAAGAGAAAATTGAATTCAACAAATACTATAAAAATCGTTTCCAAAGGGAAGAAGATTCTAAAAACTTGCAGATTCCCTAGGAGAGTTGTACATTTATAAGTTGTATAAGTTGTACTTTCTTTCTCGACTTTTCCTAATCAAAACGTTTTTAAGCATGCAGCTTATGTGTTTCAGGGGTAACAAACTTCAAAAACAAAATTATTCGTACAAAATTTCTAAAGTTATACTTAGTCTCTAAGACAGTTTATAGTTCATACAGAAATCCGGGCAGGCGGACCGATATGGCTCTATCAAATAGACTGAGGACATGATATGATGATAATCCCGAATATATTTCTTCACCTTGTTTCAATTAAAACCCTACATAAGAACACATATTCAACCGGTACCGGGTATAGATGTTGGAACTATAATAACTAAAAATCTAGAAATGTTTGAGTTCAAATTAAATATAATAGCTCAAACTGATATCTTAAAATATGAAATCCATTTAGACATTATTTATATTTAAGATTTATATTTAATATAATAGCTCAAACTGATATCTTAAAATATGAAATCCATTTAGACATTATTTATATTTAAGATTGAACAATAATTCAATGTTGTAAATAGTTTAAATGAATAGGTTGAACTTTTTTTTTAACTATGCATATTTTAAGGATCTTTTTTCCATGGCCTTTTCAAATAATTAATTTTAATATTTAAAAGTGATATTAAAACTGTTGTAACAGTCATTTGTATTTAAATAAAATTCATATAATCAGTAATAAGTTTCAAGTCAACAAAAAAACCTAAAAAGTCTTTCAAATTGAATCTGGACTTTTTTTTAACGTTAAAACACCCGTTTTTTTAATTGTTCATCCAATTGAATTGTTTAATTTTCAAACTATTCAAATTTGTAAACTTTCATACACAATTTGTAAGATTTTTTAATTGCCGACGGTTGAAAATTCCGACGCAAAATCACGAAAATTTCGAAAACACTTTACCTGTGCCCATTTTCCTTTGATGGAAATATTTAAACCCTAAAGTATCCAGTTTGGTAAGCTTTGCAGTCCACAGTGTTCACTAAAACTTGTATTTCTGTTATTAATTTAAGTTATTTTTGAAACTTTAACTTGTAGTTTTAACAACGGGAATTTTCATTTGCCGACGCGATTGTGTGCCGCTGGAAAATGCTGGTGCGGATGGAAATGCAAATGCGGATCGCATGGACTGACGGACCAACTGCGAATGAGGCGAGTGAATCTATGGCTGGCAGAGCCAGCAGCGAACAGACCGCCAATTACGAAAGTGAAGCTGCCTAGGAGAGGTCCTTTTTTGCAGTCAATTTGACAGGAGGGCGAGCAAAGCCAAAAGCAGTAACCAACACCCACCAGCCCACTTGCCACCACCACCACCTCGTTCCTCATGCTGCTCATGCATCCCCTTACCCCTCATCCTCATCCGTAGCCGGCTCACCATGGAAAGCCACAATCGAAAAAGGCGAAATGGGGAAAATGAAAAACAGCGTGCGCTGAGCAATGGAAAACGAATGAAAACAAAACCAAAAAAGAAACCAAACGAAAGTCGAAAATTTACAAAAAGCTACCAAACGTTACATTTCATCCCTTGAGAGTGGACCGGAAGCAACCAAAACCCAACCACCCACTCATCCACTCACCCACCCACGCACACAACCATACATACACTGATACACTCTCACGAAAGTCCTGGCGAGCTAGGAATATGGCGACGAGAGGGAGACCGCGGGGGAGAGTCGGGCAACCAACCGGAAAACGCCCTTTTTTCAGTGTCCCGTCCTGATGCGATTACAGCAAATGAGGGTACTTCCTGCCGTCCACCATTTTTGTTTTTTATATTTTTGTTGTTGTTGCTGCTTTCCTTCACACACACACACACGTGCAGAGGCCACACGCACACTGACATCGTACATATACTGTGGCTTTCGACAATTCACCACAAAATGTCAAGAATGACGAAAAGCTATCTGAGGAGCATCCTTGTATTGGTATGATGTGCTGCAGCGTTCCTGCTCTCGTTGCCGGACATCTCCCTCGCACGTTAGCTCCTTGCTCCTTGCTCTCCTTGGCTCGGCAAATATCCTTCGCCAGCAGAGTGCCGGCAGGCTTCTCTCGCTTTTTCCTCCATTTTATTTTTTGTTTTTGTTTTTTGCTCGGCGGATGGGTGGCAGCCGGCGGTTGTAGGCTGTCGGATTATTAGTTCTAAAGTCAGGTCTCAGCTGCCGAAAGGGCGGTACAGTGAAGGGTACATCAAGCAGCAGGAGTCAATTGAGCCTGGGTGGTACAAGTGATCCGTTTTAATTAATTATGGGGCTTCATCAGGAGAGGTGAGAGAAGTTGATTTTGTTTTATAAAAAAAATTAAATAAATATTAACATTAGTGAATACGTATTTTTTTAGGGAAAAATTTAAAGATTAGAGATCCATATTTGGAGTTTTATTCGTCACAAGATTTATTTCTTTATTGTATTTTTAAAATTGTTGTAATAGAAAAGTTCTGTTAATAAACGGATAAATGAATTTATAATATTATATAATTTTTAATTATTATTATATAATAATTATATAATATCATATTAAAAAAATCTTAACAAAATAAACAATAAAATTTTTATAATAATTTTACTTTTATACATATTTGATTTTAGATGAAATATTAAAACTTTCAAAACATTCTTTCAGACTATGTTAATCAAGGAATTATTTAAAATATATATCCTTAAAGATCAAAAATTAAAACACTGATAAGATAAAATCCTGTTTTAAACAATAACTGTTTGTCGGAAGGAGCTAAAAGACTTTGTAAAGGGATCTATGGATTTTATATTGAAAAATGTTATGAAAACTTTGCCAGTTTGTTGGACCCCATCAGTGACCAAGTACAGCAACTTAGTAAAGGATATGGCATATGTGGCAAGTATATATACAACATTCAGTGATACATATACATACATATGTATTAACGCATTCATATGTGTTGGAGTATAAGTAGAGCATCCTGGAGGAGTACTCCTACTTTTGGCATTTCCGCCATGACGTTTCCCCAGCTCCCACTGGCCGAAGTGGCAGCTCGGTAGGTCCAGGGTCTGTTGCGTGGTGTTGTTGGTATGTTGATAGGGGTTGATTTACTGACTCTCATCTAAATTGAAATGACTTTAGCGGCACAGTGAGCGGGGCCGCACCCATACATGTGCACGAGGGAGGCGGACAGGCCGGGCTAGGCCAGACCAGGCTGGGCCACGATAGGCATTACCCCCAGCTTAGGGGTGGAGTCTTGTAAGTCGGTTCGGCGTGGGCCCGGGATTAGTTACACAGCCCATTTGTCTGAATGTGGTCGTGTATATGCCGCCGCTGCTCGTATATAACCCAAACCCTGATCCCGGATCACCCATATCCCCAAACTGCAATCCTGCGGTTATATTAACCAGTTAGAATGCAAAGTCATTCGCAGGCAAGGCAGCCATCCTTCCCACCCTCGGCGTTCCACAGATTAACCCAGGCGTCCCCCAACCTCAAGCCCCCAACACACGACACCTGCCCCATTCCCCGTACAATACATGGCAAATTTGCGGCATCAAGAAGTCGCATTTTTCTCTCTCTGTCTGTGAGTGACTCTTGACTCACCCCTCCGGGATGCGAGGCCACGCCTCCTTGCCCAGGAAACTCACCACTTTTTGGAAAACCAGGCGCATGCGTTCGATGGAGTTCGAAAACGACTTCGAAAATATTTTCCGTGAAAAGAAGGCTTTGCTTTTTAGTTTTTTGTTGCTTGTCACAGCCTGGGCTTCACAGAGCTCATTCGTTTCGGAACAACCAACCAAATCAGAAGTCTATCTAGCAAAAAATATTTATTTCTTATTTTTTGTTAGATATTTTTGTGCTCAAAATTTAATCGTTGTTCTGTCACTGCGCTCACATTTATTGCCAGGTAAGTGGAATATAATTATTTTTCAGTTAAACCAGTAATGGTACTTGACTGCTTTTCAGTCAGCATGGATGGATATTATCAAGGCAACAGTGGCAACTTCAACAGCAGCGGCTATTCGCAGCGATCCGTGAACAAAAGCTACGGATCCTGCTGCAACTGCTCCGGGGGCTGCTGCCCACGGATGGGCGCTGGGGCCAGCCAAACGCAAAGCCAGATGCAGAGCCAGAGCATGGGCCAGCTGAGTTGTCCTGGTGGCAACTGTTGCCCCGGCGGACGGTGTCCAGTTGGGAAGAGTCGTGGCCATTCCGACTGGCAGAATAGTGGACGCTAACGCCCAAGAGTTGGCGGTTCCATATGTGAGCCTGACAGGACAATGACGTGGAGTTACACACATTTAATTACCGAATTATTGGAAATGGAATATCGTACGATGTTGAACAGATTTCAAAATGCACACTCAGGCACGGACTGGCATTCAGGCCATACCCACAATCGCACGAGTTGACGTGGATTCCATCTTGTTTCCAACATTACCACATATCAAAGTATAATATGAAAATTATACTACACTCCTGCCGAAAGAACATGGTGATACGTACACACAGGACCATAGCCGACTAAAATTCAGTGTTACACATGATATACTCATAGCAGAGTTAATAAATACCATTTCAATGAGATATTTAAAATATCATTCCATAGAGTAATATAATTTTTGCAGCAAAGGGTAAGGGACTGGGTATAAATATTTATATACTTTTTTTTGTCAGTTACGATTATTTTGTATAAATGGGTCAATATTGTGCCAAATTTTGTCCATAAGAATTTTCAAATTATATCGAATATCTTACAATAAAAACTACATATTGGTTTATATATGCATATCAGAACATGCTTGTTTAATCCTTTTTGCTTGTTTAATAAAACCATAAACCACCATAGTTTATTAACGAATCTCATTTTATTAAATTTCATATTCTTCATTTTGCATAATGTAATATTTATGTTTTGTTTCTCATAAACTAACAGTAAATATATATATTCTTGTTTGTATAATTCTTGTTGATAATTTATTTATGCTTTAGTTAATACAGGTTCTTCTTGAGTCGGTATAGTGTTCTCTCACGTTAAACTTATAATAACTTTGTCTAATTGTTTTGTCTTTGCTGTATAGTTCCATGAAATACGTAGAAGAGGGCCTGAAGTCGAGTGTTAGCTGGCTGTGGGGTTGGGGTAGTCTTTGGATAAGGTCAAAGGACTGAAGAGATAGTCGGTATTAATTGCTGCTACCTTAACATTCACGTATATTAACTGACACACGTACATATTTGTAAATTATTATCAATGCAACATGTAGATTCTCTACAAAATACCATTTGTGTTTACTTCTACGCCACTACTAATTAATTTATCTAATTTTCTACTTTTTATAGAGTGTTATTATTATTTGTCTTTTGTATTTACAAAATTGAAATAATAAGGGTTAGCTGCCCAACCATGTAGAGTTTTTCAAACGATTATAATTTTGGAAAAATGTAACACAATTTTTGAAAGATAAATTGGAACTCGCTATAAATAATATGACAGCATATTTTTTTTTATAAAATTAGATTTTTTTCTTTAGTTTACTACATTTATATTCATTGTTTTATGTGCAATCTTTAATATTGCTTATATTTTAGGGACTCAGTTATTAACACGTCTTGTATTACCATTAGTTCTTTGCATTAAAAAGTAATTTCGAGAAAATCTACTTGCCATTAGATACGTACATATATGCACTTATATTGATTTCCGTGAGAGGTTTGTATGTTGTGTGCTTAAAGTGACCTGTTTCAGATGTTGGGACATCCATTCAGAGGTTTGTGTTTTTAAAAAAGTGTTCAAGTCCTTTTTTAATTGATATAATTGGCGGTGCTTGTTCGTGTTAAAGTTCATAGACGGGTGTTCACACCTCATTACGGTATACATTAAGCTTTCTTTTAACGATATTTTTGTGCGCTCTCCAAATAGGTAAGCTGCAGGTTGCCTAGATTCTTGGAAGGTATACATATAATCAAAATGCTTTGTTATACCCTTGCCATGTTTATATAATTAGGGTTTTCGGGCTTACAGTATTCAAACAAGAAACTAAATGAAAACTGTTTGGTACTATTGCGTGACGACCCATAAAAATTCCAGTAATTCATTGATAACTGCAAGGGTACAAAAAACTTTGGCTGCGATAGAAGTAAGCGTTTTGTACTTGTTAATTTTATAGATATTTTACATAACTAGAAATTGTCAATGCGCTTGGTTAATATGCAACATTTATTGTGGCTACAATTGTAAATTTAGGGTGTAATAAATTATTATTAACTAAGGATATAAATTATATTGCAACTGGTTGTGGGTATATACAAAATTCGATTTAAAATATATAAAAGATAAAGTATAAAATCATATAACAGCCTTGTGTTGAAGTTAGGTTAACTTGATTTGGTTAAAATATAAAAAAATATAGCTTACTAAAGTAGCAATTAAAAAATAAGTTAAACGTATAAATGTCATTAATGTCTTTTTAAAACAATCATAAACGCATGTAAATCAACTAATGTTCTACTTCCACACATCGAATATGTCTACCCTAATTGTCGAACGAATTCGATCGCAGTTGGCTATAGCAAGCCTGACACACTCTAACCGGCTTCAAGATGCGTAGCCGAGAGATTTCCGACTCGAATCTGCTGCACTTGTTGCAGAAGACCTGTCCACAGTTGCGGCAATGATGTTTCCTTTCATAGAGCGTAAATCTGAAAAATAACACAATGAATATTTTGTAAAACTAGGGAGTACTGGATACTTACTTCACATGACATTTAACGCACTGATCTGCTCCCTCATCCTTTAGCCAATGATCCGCCACTCCTCGACCCGGCTGCTCTGCAACGCTCCACGAGAAGATGCGGCCACGAGCGTCACCTATAAAGCATTATAAATATACGTGACTATTTGACCTAACCTTCTTCACAGAGTTTACTTACCAACATATAGGATTTTGTGATCTTTGGATACTGTCAACGCTGTAATGCTTGCTGGTTCAGCATTATCCTTACGATCGTATGCCGTGTGCATGGTTAATTTCGAGCGGAACATTAATTGACGTTGCCATCGGAATCCTAGAATATAAAAGGAAATTTATTTTGGGCTTGTTTTTAAAAAGATTTCTTCCATACGCACCTTTTCGCAAAACCTGGTCGCCTCTGGGCCTATCATTGTCTATAACTACGAAACCATCCGTCAAACTAGTATCCGATTTACTCGGTCGTATAGCATGTTCGTCTACAGAGGAGAAGGATGTTATTAAACTTTTCGCAAACTTTTTAGAAACATTAGTACCCTCTGCAAGTTTTGGATCAGAGCTACTGCCTGGTGCTTCTACCGTGGCGGATTTCATTTCGTGCAAACTCTTTGCTCCTGAAATGGAGCTCTTTCTCCGCTCTGCTTGAGCGGCCTCCTTGGCATTTTGTTCCGACTTGGTCGACACCTGGCTATGCTGCGAAGCCTCCGAGATGCTGCTCTCCGACGCAGACTTTACAATATCTATAATGAGATTGGGTGAGAAGCCAAAAGAGGAGTGAGTATTTCCCATCTACTAACCATTTTCTTCCTCGGGCTGTGGGAAGCTTGTTATGGGTTTAAAGATGTCAATGGATTCGTCTTTATTGTCACCCTTATTGTCTTTTACATCCAATGAAACAGAGTCTGGCTTGTCCTGCGAGGTAACCTCCACTCCGCGCTTTAGCTTGCGATCGATGGGCACCTGCGTGTGTTCCAGCGACCACATCTAAAAAACCATTATAAATGAATAATAATCCAAACTAGTTGCTTTTTGATTACCTACCCTTACTACTCCGTCGGTGGAGCCTGTTATAACCACGTTCTGTTGGTCCCATTCCCGGATCTGGGAGAAGGCCACGCAAAGTATTTGCTGCATACGATCTGCGCTGCCCACGCACGTGTTAACCATAGAGAGGGGATCGCCGTTGATGGACCAAACATGCAACCAGGTGGCCGAGCAGGTGGCGATCTCGCCTGTCAGTTCGTTGATAGCCACGGCAGCGACTACTCCTGCATGTCCCCTCAACTGCCGCACGAATGTGAATCGCGACATGTCCCACACAATGGCAGTTCCATCCCGCGATCCGGACACGATCACGTTGTAGGCGGCACTGGCCGCCAGACAGGTTACGGCGTCGGTGTGCCCGTGAAGGGAGTGTTTCACACTGAGGCTCTTGCGGTTGGCGTCGAACTTCCAAATGGTCACCACCGAGCTGGTTCCGGCCGTGACAATCATCTTGGCGTTGGGGCAAGCGCATGTCAGGATTTCCCCAGAGTTCTGGGCTGCTGCCTCGGACACAAAGGACGCCCGATCCGTGTCGTACAGACCCACACGGAGGGAGTGGTCAGCGAATCCCCAGGCAATGTACTTCGTATACGATGGCGGCATCATCACCTTGTTTTGCTCCACGGCGAACACCGTCTTATCGGGCTGCAGTATCTGGCCGACTGGACCCTTCAGCTCCTTGATGGGCTGCAGGCTGGGCTTCAGGTTGTCCAGATTGTGGAAGAAGAGCCGGTCTGTCTGGAGCACTGTGCTGTTGCCTTGAATCAACGACGTGGGGTCGATCAACGCCGAGTGACGGGAACTGCCCATTTTCTTGGCCGGATGCGCCTTTTTGAAGAGCTGCTTCGGTATCTGTCCAAAGTTATTGATGAAGCCAATGGTGGCATTTTTCTTGAGAGGATCATCAATGCTGGAAAAGATGATGCAGTTAGGATTGAATCTGCCATCGGCCATCATAAGACTTACTTGTAAATATCCACATTCCCCTCATAGAAGAGATGGTGGAACACATTGACGGCATCCACGGCGGCTGGACCTTGCTGCTTGCACCCGAATATCAAGTCGATCCACTGGAAAGATACATCGTCAGAAATCTCAAACCAAAATCTTAAAAGAATTTAACCAACCAGATGCAAATGCTGGCTGACATAGTCGCACTCCAAGGCGCTCCTGTGCAATCGGATGAACTCCCTCGGGTCCTGCTTGGCCCAAGGGGGAAGAATAACATGGTTGAGGGTCTCTCCGTTCTGCTTGGTTCCCAGGTCAAAGTTGTTAAAGTTGCTGAGGAACTCGGGCAGGTAGAAAAACTCCGGAATGAGCTCCTTAACGTCGGCCATGTTAAGCTTTGAGGCCGAGAGCCAGGCCTCCTTGATGCTGTGGAACATCCGGTCTGCGAGATCAAAATGTCCGCCTTGGAGCTTGAGGAAGGGCTGCGAGAAGGGCTCCAGGCGCACCAGGTATGAGCAAACGATCATGGCGGAACTGTAGTGAGTTCCGTAGTGGTAGGGCGGCGTTTCACCGTGGGGATCATCCCATTCCTTGAAGCGCTTCTGGAACTGCTCCAGCCTCTCATCCGCTTGGGCACCCATGGGTCGCGAGAAGTCACGGAAAGTCTTGGGATTGGACAGGTCAAGCTCCTCGGAGTCGTAGTCGGCCAGGATCCAGGGAAAGACGGGATATTGCATCAGGTCATTGTAGCTGCGCCCCGCCAGAGTGTTCAGGTGCATGAGATACTGGAAGTTGGAGATCTCGCCGCGCACCCATCGCTGGGTAACCGAAGTCTCGCCGATCAGTCCG